ATTATTGATCAACAGACATTTATAACTACCATTAAAACAAAAATCAATTTAAACGATTCAACTAAAGCAAATTAAAACGATAAATACACACACACACACACAAAGGTTTGGACACTTTCGCATTTAAGTGAACATGAAAGTGTATAAAAACTTCAGAATGGTGTTTGGTTTTTTTTTGGGAAAGACAGACTCAAATGAATCCCTTGGGAACTGGTACAACATCTGCACTTTGGAAATCATGCAATGTCTGCATTTTCATAAAAGAGCCGTGCCCCGACATGCCCTGAGTCAACACAAACATTTTAAAGAGGGTAATTAGTCACCCATTAAAGGCAGTAATCATGTATTGATGAAGATAAAAGGACTCGAAGGAAAACAAACGGGAAATGGGCTGGTACCGTTCACATCACAGTCGGATTGTAGAGGTCATGTGCTAAGTCCTGTTAAGAGCCTCAAAGGGCAAATGCTGAACGCTGAGCACTCTGGTGCGAGTGTTTAGAAACACAGCCAGATTTTAAGCACACAAACATGAAAAATATCAATTTCACATTTGGTTTAACACTTTCACACTTTGTGTCACTGACACCCAGAGAGAAGGCTGTGGAAGACAAAACACCACTCCTGGATAAGGATCATGTTAATGCCTATCAATTAGGATCAAAAAGGGATTAACCGGCATGGTTGCAGCGATGGGATGGCGACCCATGCAAAGTCACTAAATACTAGGGGTCACACCCCCAACTTCATTAGTCCTGACCTTTCCACACCATTGTGTGACAGGGAAGAAACCCTACAGTCTGTGTTTCCCTTTTACCCGTCTTACATGGCTTATGGAGAGCATGAGACATGCAGAAAAGCTCTTCGAGATCAGTGAAATATGAAATATTCACTGCCCAAGTAGTCCAGGGAGACTTATTAGGTTACTGCAACCTGGTTCAGGTGGGTATTTACTCATCAACCACCACCCTCTCTGCAAAGGAAATTTGGGTTGTTTTTTTTTGCCAGGAAGAGAAGCGAGATTTACTAATTAGTCATGGTGCAGCCTCACCTTGCTATGATGTACCGCAGAGCTGATGAGCTCCACCTCTGCTTTGCTGTCTTAATTCACAAAAGGTCAAATGGCAAAGTGAAAGCAGGTATTCCAGGTGTGTTAAAATAATCCCCAATTAAGGAAAAATGCAAGCACACCCTCAAGTCTCAAATATCTGACTTTAAAGGAAACTTTGAGTAAAGCCTCTGAACAGGGGAAACTTTAATGCTGTAGCAACATAAAGAGTTATTTTTACATTCTTTACATAAAAGAAAGAAGAAAACAGAGAATTAACTTTTAAACACAACCTGCTTATATGGATATGATGTTTACACAAAATGTTTTATTGGTCACATAAATACTGGGATGTCTGCATTCACACAAGACCCAATACACAGCTACTTACTACTAAACAGCTGTATCGTTAAAAGCAGTCCCTGCATTTTTTTGTCTGCACCTGAGATTCAACTAGACGAGTTTAGACAAAACATGTATAACTTTATAGTTTTTTTTTAGGTGATACATAAAGATAGTGGAATAAATTACACATTATTTCATGCATGGTCAGGGTTGAAAAGACCAAGATCTGTAGCTGGGCAATTATTTTATTGTGCCAATGTAACATACATTTGATTTTAAAAGGGGCCCATGATTAAATTTAAATTAAATTTGTTTTGTAGACTCCTAAAATCACTACCAACCTTTCATACCATAGCTGGACATACAACAGATTCCAACAGAACGGGTACAGTAACTGATGTTGACCTGTCATTTTAAAGGACACTGTAAAACATAACATAAAATTCAAGTAACTGCTGGAAATATTAACTTAAGACTAGAGCACTCTTCATTTCACGTGCCTCAATTGAATAGTATGTGTTTACTTTCCATGTGAGAAGGACTCAGTGACAGTAAAGAGTTAAGGAAAAGGCAGAAGTTCATCTCAGGCCAAAAGTTTCTTCCTAGTAACCAAGTGCTTGCTCAGACTGATGTTCAACTTAAACAGGCATGCAGCCTTGCACTGCAGTCAAACAGTGGTCACCCAGGCCTACAGCCTTCTCTGTAGCATTTATGAGGGTGTTATACATGAGCACCCTCCATTTAGAAGTCAGTGGTGGGTTTGCAGTCAAATGAACATAAGAAGTACTGCTGAAGCTGTCATTGCTGAGCAGCTGAATGGGAATGCTGCATGTGTACAGCTTAAGACAACACATGTCATTCACACTGCAATCAACAAACGCATGTTTACCTACCTTTCACAAAGCTCAAAATAAGTGTTTTAACAGCTGATATCTACAGTATAGTCACTATGCAATTTCAGGAAAGCAGCCTTCTATACAGCCTCTAACCAGGATCTAATGATCATGAGGCAGACAGTGATGTTGTGACTACAGCTGAAACTAAAAATTTCTTCTCACTCTGTCAGTGCTGTGTGACTGTGGACATTTTAATGATAAACAAAGGCTTGATATTGCCATAGAGAAAAATCTTACTGTTGACATAAGATCAATTTCATCACCCAGAAACTGTTTTATCAAAGAACAAGACCATTTGCTAAATCCACCTGATAAAGAATTAACTTGTGTTATTCTATTACCACGGCATCTTGAAAACCGTATAAGTGAAACATACTCAGTGGTAACTGATCAACAGGTATATTAAAAATAACAATAATGACATAGCATATTATCAAAAGTGTTGTCAGCTGAAGTATCAATTTGAATAACTAATTATCACAATCAGAATTTCAATTCTAATTCTGGCAACAACTGGTTTGAACATACATGATTACAAATGGACATGCCCATACTGCCTGCTTGTATTAGTAGAACTTGCACTGTGTTAGTGATAAACATCACAACAAGAAAAAACTCAATGCAACGATTATCTTTTCCTCAAGACACCACAAAACATGCATAAACCCACAGTGCCTTTTCTCTATTTTCGTGACAACAGAGCAGCTGCCCAGCTTAATATGTTACTGACAGCCACTGCTGTGTTACGTGGCATCAGAACACAGTCTGGCATTCACACAAGGCCTCACCACTGGACAAAAACAAGTATATAAAGAGGAAAAGGTCACCTAAACCTTTCAGTAAGTCATGTTAGCATCACAACATACAATACAACACTTTTGCATAAATGTTGCCATGGACAGACTTAATTTTAAGTGCGTTAGCAGCAACCTCATTAAAAGTAATCTACAGTAAAGACCAAAGGATCACTTTTGGTAATCCAATACAAATAATACAATATATCACTGTACGTTTATTTTTAGTAAGCACTATATACATTAGGATAAATATTTTATCGCTGTGATTACAATTACTATCTGCATGCGTTTATGTTGTTAATTTTATTTTTATCATGCATAATTCCACAAATACCTGAAAACTGAAATCATGTGAAAATATATGCCTAATGTGATCATGCAAGTTGGGCACAAAATAGCTACTGAACATCTGAATGTCATTTATTACTGCGATGAAATAGCAAAAACAAACAAACAAAAAAAAAAAGGGGTCTCAATGTTTCTGATGCAGAATTCCCCGAAAAACCAGCATTATACAGCTCTTCATATAATTTTTTATAAATGTTGTAAAACAATCTATATTCAGAAATGACTGTTCTAATCTTCACCTACTAAAGACAAACATTGTTTTCATTGCATTTAAATTACTCACAATGAAAGGCAGGATTTACTGATCACTTTATGTTTTTGATGACCTTCATTTATTTTCCCCCAATTTAAAAAAAGGAAACTGCATCGCACAACATTTGATAGCATACAATTTTATTTTTCTGTGTTAATATTATGTTACTGTAGTATATTATTGTAGGTTTGTAATTTAATTAACATTAAAACTTTCATTGGGGTTCACCGGTGTGAAAATTCTGTAAATTGTATAAAATGTTCCATCAGAAGCATTTCTAAGATAGTATGATAATAATATGCTAAGAATACATTACAGGAGAATAGGACAAAAATAGCCGTTTTATGACAAAATTCAAATAAATGGAAAAATTCTATAGATTTATTTTTTTTTAACATGCTCCGGTGTGCTCGATATGATTTTCCTGAAGTTTGTTTACTCCACAAAAGCTGTTCTGTCTTGTTCTTTACGATCTATGCTGCAAGTTCACATTCCTTTTACTACGAGCTTCGATACAGTTAGTCTCTTTCACCACAACCAAAAAACCTAAAATGGACGCTGCTGGCTTGGAATTGTCAATGGCTACGACCCGCTAAGGGTCACAACTGTACAGTTGTGTTCTTACGAGTGAAGAGGCAAATGGATGCTTGTTTTGGCGGACAGCCAGGAGACTCTTTAAAATACAGTGAAGGACTTCAGTTAAAATATGCCACACCAATGTCAAAGGAGAGTGCGTCATAGCGCAGCAGAGGATGGTGAGATAAACAACCCACCATTTACAACAGACAATGGCAGGTGCTGCTGTGCTTCGGAACATTCAAATGTTAACCCATATGTGCACAGAAATAACCCAAGAAATCTTTTCATTATAGCTCAGGAAGTATTAGAGTCTACATGAAAGCCCGTTTTCTCCAGACATCATCATGATGTTAGACCCCATGACTGCAGAGTGGGTGGAGACTATGAGTCAATCTTGCATCAGCATTTTCCGGCTAAGCCTCAAGTGAAAGTTACAAGATCCATATCTATGATTATCTTATGAAGAGATCAAAAATCAGCATTAATAAAAAATGATCACTGCTGACGAGTGAATGACAGGAGTGAATTTGATAAGCCATTTCTCGGCATCATATCGTGGAGAACTGGCATTGCAAGTCAAAGCTCAACCTCTGCAAATACTGGTGTGTGCAGCGGACTGATATTTCCCTCAGGCGATCACATACACTCACAGCACCTTAAAGCATTCCAAGAATTGCTTTTCTCAACTTTAAACGTGCCCAAATGTGCTTTAATGAACAGGTCAACACAGAACTTACCATTTGGGTGGACACACTCCAGCGTCAAAGGCATGAAGGCAAAACAGGCTGCAAGAAACTATGGATCTCCTGTGAATCCAAAAGAAAAAAAACATTAGCAATGAACTGCGCATCTTGGAAATAGTCAAGATAGAGGGTTAAAATGTCACAGACAGAAAAAACAAAATAGGAATGAAACATAAGAGCAAGTATTAATTTTAAAAGCTTTTTCATTTTGGTTCAATTATAAAAACAGTCAAACTAAATTTGCAGTATTAAAAAATACAAATAAATATTACACTGCATAGTATCACTAAAATGAAATGATCTGAAAGTAAATAAGTGCTACAGCAGTGTTACCATGTTTTAAGGTAGTGTTAAGTGATGCATCACTTTTATTTCTAATATGCATGCAAGGGGCAGTGCTCACACAATCCTCATCCATTCCTTAAGAACAAATGATCAATATCAAATACACTGACATACTGTATCTATAACTACAAATGTTCTAACAATACTTGAACACCATTTTATGTTTTGTGTAGCAGAAATCATTTGCCAATTTATGACTACAAAGCCAAACTGTGATAAGTTACCACAAAAAAAATTTGATTACCCTACTTTAAGCATCATTCTTACCTTTTTAATTGCAGTTTGAATCGTTTTTGTCAGACACTAGCTCAACAGGCCTGCAATGATACAGCATGTTTAGGTCTGGCTGTGTGTTCCAGTAAAAACATAAATCAACAAGCACTCAAAAATCGTTATAGAATATGATGAGATTAATGGAGTTATCTGACGAGTCTGCACTAAGTCGGTCATCATAAAGAGATCTGTCCAGGCTGGTCACTCTTATGTTGAACAGATGAACATGACAGACGTGCTGAGTGAAAGTAACCTGAAATGTCAGGGTGAATTTTGGAGCACATTTAGAAGCCCATGTCATATTTGCAACTGCTTTGACTTTTTAAAATCTCATCGTTTCATAAAAATATAACTTTTAAAAGTTGTAAAAAGTTAGAGAATATTTTCTTTAACTTAAAGTGAAATAGTGCTTCATTAAATCTAAAAGGTTGCTGTTTATAATATGAAACCTGTGAAAATAAGTTTCATCTTCCCTCATCGTGCATATCACTTGACAATTATATTAAATTTCAAGCTGCTGAACTGGGTAAAAGCAAAAAAAGGCAAAGACTAATGATAAAAATCCTATAACGTAACCTGGTACAGATGCCCATTCCTAGCCAGTTGCTGAGAAATTCAGTCTACTTTCTCAGATTTAAGAGAGTGATAAGATTACATTTCAGTTACAGGGCTAAAATCCGCTGGATAATAATTTCATACACTTGCTATGTTCAACATTCAAACATTATTTCACACTGCGTAAAACAATATTTGTGTTCACATCAGTGTCCTCACAATGTGCTTCACCACATGTTAGGCAATGCTGAGCAGAGGCAGGTAATAGATTTCCTATTTATTTCAAACTGCCTGTAAGATACCGTCATTATCTAACAGATGCCTACTGCGAGTATGTGTAAGACAATGTTAGATACTGTATGTACTCAACAAAAACAGGAGAATATTCACAAGAAGACTGTTTCGTGTAGATTATGAATTTTCCATTAAAACGTGTATATATATGCATACACACCGATTTTAAAAATACACATTTTTCAAAATCAGAAGCCACCACAGACATTTATGTAAGATGCAGAGAGATTATGGTTGTTCACAACAGTCAGGGACCCACTGCAAGCTTCTGGGAGTAATGGATCAAACAAAATGGCTACCAAGTCTCCCAAAAGACAGACAGAGATATGAAGCAGTAGAGAAACAAGTTAAAAGAAAACACACACACACACACACACAAAACATTCCTTGAGTCATGAAACTCAAAACACTGGAACAGTCTAGTTAATAAGTTGTGTTTACCCAAAGAAGGTAACTAGCTATTAAACAGCCTAATTGTCCACTTAAACACAACAACTATGTTACAGAAACATGTGTTCAAAACATGCTCAGGCAGTTGATGTGTGTTTCACAGTGTATCACCATCCTTCCCATGTTTTTTCTCCTCACATTACTTTATATACATCATGGGTAAGAACATTCGTATAGCAGCCATCTTGCCCCAAAAGAGCAGACACAGGGAGGGGGAAGGAAGGCTCACCAAGTCATATGACTGCCCTGTCTGCAGACAACTGCAGTGACAGTGCCTAAGCGTCTAGACAAGTCTGGCATACAAACCAGCAACAGATCGGGTACACATGCACTGTTGCACACAATGTTTTTAATAAAATCTTAAATCCATCTTTTCATTTCTGTACAGTGAATTGCAAACACTTCTCAGTTTGGGTAAGAAACCTCTTCGGCTGAATGAGGCAGTATTGTTCTCATCTCCAAATACAATGAATATTCAAGGCTTAACAGAATTTTTTAAAGCAACGCACAAAACATCTAGAATTTTCCACTCCAAGTAACAAAGCATCCAAATTTATAATTACATTCAAATATTTGCATTATAGTTAGCACCTTCGGTTTAGTTTCAAAGAACACAAATATACATAGACTGTGGAAAATTGTTACTGTTCTTTGGAGCTAGTATGGGAATTTAAAAGGTAATCATTGAAAACTTTTGGAGTAAAAGTGGTAAACAGTTTTTGTACCAGTTTAATATGGTTTTAAAATTCTTGAAATAATGAAAAGTGTATAAATGATCTGATAAACCCTATTAAAACTATGCAGTATCAGTCTACTTTAATCACTACAAGTGTACCCAACACCCCCATATCGCTTTTCACTATGTACAGCAACCAACCTTTCTATGCTGGTGCATGCTGCCTGCTGGATGGTGCACTCCTCTTGAACTCCAGTGCTGCTGGCTGAGCCCCTGTAGAGCACAGACAAAGACAGAGAAAGGAAAAACATTTCATTCATTTCATTACCTCATCTCAGGGCCACACAGATGAGTTCACATCAGCCTAGTTAACTGCATGTGAAGGTATTAATACAAGGGCCCCCTGTTAGGTGTTTTCATGAGGTGCTCGATAGTAGGCTACAGCTGAAAAAATAAAAACAAAGGACCTACAGGTGACAGTTTCCCCTCAGGTGACTGCTGAGTAACAGGTAGGCTAGCTTAAGCGCGCGTGGGTTTAATCAACAACCTCACGTCAGCAAAGGTGCGTCATCTGCGCATGTGAATGAGGTCAAGTCTCCAAAACAAAATAGCTACTGTGTGGGATTCACAAGAAACGATAAAACATAACTACGGACACTTTGTTATTGTATAGCGAGGTCTTTTTTTTTCACCAGAAACGCAGAGCTAGCATACACAAACAAACCTTTTTGGCAGCGGTGTAATGCTGCAGTAGCCACTGTAGCCTATATTTGGCAACTCGCACTCTGGTGCCTGCCTTACCTGCCTGTGCATAAAGAGATGTCTGCTGACAGACTGCGGAGGAAAAAACTTTCACAGCGTTTTTCTAAAAAAGATATATATATGCGTATACTGGCTGCGCGTGGCGACTCATGGGCGAAGGCTTTCGAGGAGGAGAGCAACAAAATTCCATTTCCAACCGGCGGCTTCTTTGTAAACGAGCAAAGATGGAAAAACTCCTTCTCCAATTTTATCAAATACAGACAGACTCCAGACAGTCTCCAAGCGGTTACGTGCCTGCTTATCCTGCGCGTGCACGCCGAATGGCGCGGGAAGTGTTGAGAGCAGATCCTGAATGACACAGCGAGCAGCCAGTGACGATGACGAACCGAATCTAGCATCCAATCACAATGGCTGGTAAATACAAACCCCGCCCCGACTCCTCCTCACTCGTCTGTTGACAGTGTCCTGAATAAAACAAGAGTCTGGAGTTACTGTATGTAGTTCACTGCAATAAGCTACAGTCAGTGGCACTAAGATGTGGGTCACTAACTGTAGCCTGTTTACTCTGGGAAAATGGTAGCATGTATGCTAATATGTAGCCAATTACAGAAAAATTATGTCAATATATAATTTGGCTACCTCACATATATACTTGAACAATTAACTCTAGCCTACATCACTGATTCAGTTAACTGCTATAATTATAATCTGCCTTTTTCATAGATGCATCATTTTTTATATAGGCTACCATACAAAAACATCAGCAGTGGTGGAAAGTAAAAGAGCAGAGCCACCTGTAATCATGAGACCATTGATCTCTGGTGGGAATTCAAAAGCCACCCAGCAGTAATTCAAATTAAAATAAATTAGCTCCACCTTTACAAGCTGCAACATTAAATGTGATGTACACAGTGATGCATCGATAATTACAATTCAATTATATGATATACATTCATGTGAAATGTGCTAGTCTGCATAATGAGTACTTTAGGTAATTTAAATATATTTTATGCCAATATTTTGTACTTTTACTTAAGTAACATTTCAAAAGCAGGACTTTTACTTTTACACTGTGGTAATGCTATTTTTACTTTTACATAAAATACATGAGTACTTCTCCCACCACTTATCATCAGACAAATTTGTCTTACTAAGTGATTTTTTAATATATCAGTCACCAAGGGCCTGTATCACAAAGGAAGTTCAACTTAGTCTGGCTCTTTTGAGGTTATATGGCTTCATTGAGCCTAATAAGAGCCTTTACAAATAACTAGTAGCATGAAGCTGGTTATCAAGTTGCTCTTTTAACTCTGGGTTTTCATATGCGATCATGAGGTATTCATGTGAATGTGGTGGAGTTGTTTATTAAAAGAAACAGTGACTCTCTTCAGAGCAGGCTAGCCGTGCATCAGAGATTACCGTGGTGATCTAGCCCGGTTAGAAGTCAGCCAGCTATGTGTTACCATAAAACTAGACCCAATGATAGCTGGATAACTCACTAATCCCACTTCATGGTACAGGCCCCTACAGGCACAGCTGTCAGTGATCTGTGTGGCAGTGTCAATACATAAATGGATAGACAAATATCAATCAATCTTTATTATGGACACAGGAGAGTCCATAGAATATGCACTACAATAAATATCATTACATAAGATAGATAGATAGTGTTACAGTAGCCAGGTCACATAACTAATATAAACAAATTATGTAATTAAAAAGCCAATATCTTAAAAGAGAACATAATAAAAGCTTAGAACACAGACTATATGACAAAGGTGAAACCTATAACTCTAATATTTTTAATATATACATTACAAAGATAGTTCCATGTAATCTATTGTACATTAGTGTTGCAAGTCAAATAATGCTATATGCTCACAAGGTCTGACAGTCTACAGTGAACACAGTACATATAAAAAAATGAACTTAAATTTATTTAATTTACAAAATAATCCTTTACAATACAGTCCCAGTCAGTATCCAGTATCATTTTCTCCAGACAGCTGCAGATCCAGATATGAACTGACAGCAATAAAGTATTGTCTCACACACAGCAACTTCCAAGTTGGCATTTAATTTCTGTGTCTACACAAGGCGTATAGACAAGTTTGTTGTAAAGAATTTCTTTCCTTTGGATGGAAAATAACAAGTCTTGTCTTTTTGCGCTTTGCACCCTTTAATTTGTATTGTTATGGAAAACCACTGGATTTGGATAGGGCACACAATCATTGAGGTCACCGTAATAGAGTGTGACAGCTCCCCTTTTCAAAACTATTTGGAAGTAAAATCAAAATTCCTGGGAAAGTGAATCCAGGGAGAATAGAAATATGTTTTGGAAACAACTGTTTAAGGTGAATATTTAATAAGATGTGGGCTATGAATTACACCTGGATTCATTTCAACGAGAAAATCTTGAAACAGGAGGTTGCATGCAAGTTCATGAGGCTAAAACATTAGGTTATTAGAAAGTTTAAAAATCATGTTATAAAAAAGCAGAAGCATTGAGACTTTGCTTTTTTTTTGTTTGTACATTCTTATTAACATGACTTGATAAACTGCATTCAAGGAAGTGTCGGTTTGCAAACGACTAGCGTGGAAAAATCGCATTTCATATTAGTTTTAAAAAGAAAAAGAAAAGGAAAAACATGTGCCAACTCAACATCTGCTCTGTACAATCCCCAGTCCATTAGAATTCACAGACTGTCTTTCACTAGGAAAGCCCCCTTTATGTTTTCTCAAATTAAAAATCTCACGGCTGATCCCTTCCATCACCCTGGCTCTCAGATATTGACCTTGTGGTGCTACAAAATAGCTTCTTCCTCTCTGCGGGTCCCCATAATGAACCAATACAATGAGGCTTCAGTTCACTGCTCACCTTTCTTTGGTGTCTCTTGGGGTCTTTGTTGATGTTTCTCAGCCCAGGAGGAATCTGGGAGTTAGAATTCTGCTGTAGTCAAACTGTAGACTCAGACAACAACTTTGACTCTCAGACCTAAGCATGAAAGAGGAAAAAAATGTGGTAGGAGATTAAAAGGTTTTGACATTACAAAACCTTGTGGGTGGCTGTGGCTCACGAGGTAGGGCAGTTGTCTCCTGACCAGTAAGTTGGTTTGACTCCTGGTCTCCCCGCATGCCTAAGTGTCCCTGAGCAAGACACTGAACCCCAAATTGCTCCCGGTGGCTTGACTAGCGCCGGTGCGTGGCAGCCTGTCGTCATCGGTGTGTGAATGTTGTGTGTGAATGGGTGAATGGTGTATGATCTTCTGTAAAGCGCTTTGGCCAGTGCAACACACTGTGAGGAAGCGCTATATAAAATACAGTCCATTTACCATTTTACAAGGAAGACATGAATAAAGATTTAGAGGCATTCTGAATATCATTCAAAGTGACCATTATTCAAAAAGTGCAAGCATTTAGGCCAGTTTCAACCAAAAAGCTCAAAATGGAAAGCCAAGATTTAATAGATATAGTGATGTGTTGTGCTATTAAACTTGCCTCAGTGGTAAAGACTGATTATACTGAGTAAACTTTTGTCCATACAGCTGTGTCAAGCCTGTGTCACCTTCAGATAACTCAACACAAAATCTAATTACTAAGCAAATCAGAAACATAATATTATTTTAAAAAGGGTCTATAATGTATGTGTGTAAGATGAAAATGTCACTACAGTGCTAACGTGTGAAGCATGCACCTATATTACCAGAATCTCTTATATGAGAATCAATGTTCTGCTGCATGGTATTTTGTCCAATTGACCTACATTGTAAAAATCTCAGTTCAAAGTTGTTGTGGTTTTCTGTTTTGTTTTGTGACATCTAATGCACATTACACTTACTGTTAAAGCAGCACTCCACACCCATCAACATGGCACTGCATTACATCATGCAGCACCTTGATTCCCCAAGGACCTATACACATGTCCTCTTCTGGACTTCAGCTTGGTGTTCAGTACCATCAACCAGGACATCCTTCATTCTAAACTGACCCAGCTCACTGTGCCTGGCCCCACCTGTCATTTAATCAGCAGCTTTCTCACATCACATCATCACAACACATCACATAACATCCAGCCTCTGGACTATCAGCACTGGCACTGGCACTGAGTCATCAGCCTCATCCAAGATGGTGATGAGTCAGCCTACAGACAGGAGATTGAACAGCTGCCCCTGTTTGAACTCCTCCCCTATTGACTGTGCTACAGGTCACTGTACATAACCTTACACACTTTACATAACCTATGCACTTTCAATCAAATTTTATCTCCTTAAAACAAACTTTACAAAAGCGTAACAATGCAGTTTGTATTCTGCTCAATAGAATGTCCATCTTAATATATCAATAACCAAATATAAATACTTTTGTATACACAGTTCTCATCCTAAGGCCATGGAGCACAAAGAAAAAACTGAATAGGCCCTATACACATGGGTGTCATATTAATAGTGGTAAGCATGAGTTATTTCATGATATTTGTTTTTATTATTTTGTCTAAAGTCACTAACTGTACTCACATGGCATGCCAAACTGAAAAACAAGGTAATTTTATTTTTTGCAATTTTAGAAAAATATAGTTTGAATCCAGCCCAGATGTATTACGAAAGAAAGTCATAATATATAGTCTAGTGTACATCTACTGTAGGGCTCTAGATGTCTAAAGCTAGGCTATAGAAAGGCCTTCTTGATTAATTAATCATTTTAATCAGGACACTATATGGAAGCAAAATTTAACCAACTACATAACCTGTTCAAATTCACAGGAAATTAATTTTCCAAAGTAAACATTTCTGAAAGGCACATTCATATTGGCCAGTACGAGTGTTTACATTTATAATACCTATCGATTCGCTTTCACAGAGCTTTATATCCCAAAACTCGGGACTAGATTCCTAGGGAAGTCAGTTTCTCCGTAGATATACGTTTCCGCTTACCTTACTCTGAACCGAACTTTCGCCCTAACATTTAACCAGTCGTGTCTTATGATGCTTAATCCGACTCAACCGTGACCTAACCAATTACCTCTGCTGTTTCCCGAGCATAGGGAATCTAACTTGTCCTAGCGGACGAGGTGGCCCATAATGCATCATCGCACCACCTTATCGCTGCCATGTTTGAATTCTGGTCGCGAACAGGAATTATTGCCGTATAGAAGCTGGTCTCTGGCTAGTTTACTGTTTTGTGCCGCTTTAGAGGCGAAACAATAGGTATTCAATGTAATCGTCACTTTTATGCTCAGACTTTATACTCAAAGCGCTGTGCACCATGTCAGCCAACGATGAGGGTGAGTTAACATCTGCGGCTTATGTTATTTGGATAATGCTAAGATACCTACGTAGTGCTAATATGACTAGCTGCTGTTAACATCAGTTTAAAATACTGCTCCATTGACTGTAGGCCACATATTTAGTCCCGACTATGGTTAGTTAAATTAGATTCACCCTAAACAAACATCGGTGACGAACAGCGTAGGTTGTAAGCATGAATAGGTTCAAACAAACAGTAGCATTAGCTTGGGAGCTAGCTAGCTAGAGTGTAGCTAGCGCTGCGTGATAAGCGACATTTATCACGCTGGTTTATACATACGTGTTACGTTTAAATTGTCGCATTGCTTAGAAGTTTAATGAAGTAATAACGGGCTAAGTTGTGGGCTAACGTTATCCTCTAATATTTGTATGTAATATATGTAAGTATTCGCAATATTTATGTGTTTAGCCCCTGCGTTTGCTAAGATCGTTAGCAGCTGAACTAGTTAGCTGGTACTTGTAGCAAAACGTGTGAGATTTGAACAATAGATCTACAGTAATGCTGTCGTTTTGTTTGCCATATTAACACTATTCTATGTCAACACTGCTAATCGGGGCTAGCTAACCTCGATTCAGACCAACTGACTAGTGCAAAAATTGAACTGTGGGATGCTGAGTGCTGTTGACCAGACATGGGTTTTGTCTTTGGCATTGATGCAACAGAAAAATGCATATCCTGACATTTTTATAACGAGGCAGCTTTATCACCCTGTTATGTCAGAATAAGTCTGGAGAGACTTGAGAGATTCAAGTGCAGGGACTGAAATGTTCTGCCACTTTTAGATAAAAACTTGACCATTAAAATCTGTAATATGGTTTTTGTAAAATGTCATGTCTGTTGTAAAAATGTATTTGCCTGTTTTAATTTGTTCAAATTGTGCCATGAATCAAGTAATTAATTTTGTTGACATGGTTTCTTGTTATCAGTCTCCGTGAATCACTGTGCAGAAAAGTGATGAAAGAGCTTTGAATAGAGATTTTTGTAAATAGGCCCACCTCATAAAAAATAAATTGGACATGATGTTACAAAAGGGAGACCAGCCAATCTGGGTCAAGTTTAATGACGCATGAAAACAAGTATAGTAGCTGTGCAAACAAGTCATTAAGTTATGTAACCAGACTACAGGATTCTTTATCACCTACTACTGCACTGTAGACTGAGGCTGAAGACGGAGGAGGAATTTGTGACATAATTGGACGAATTGTGAAAATCCCCCCAAATTGATAAATTAAACCATCTGAAATTCACAAGTTGCTGATTCAGGGTGCACAAGGGGAATGTGCATTTACAATAGTTGCTTTCAGAAGGATAGAATGATGTCAACCTAAGCATATGTTTATTATTATAATATAATCAACTGATCTGGGGCTAATCTGTAAGCACAGGTGCCTTTGTTGCAGATTATGACTTCGATGAATATGACAAACCTGGTGCTGAGCGTTTCCGCAGACGGAGGGGTGGACAAGATGATCTAGAGAGGTAAATTATCCTTTGTGTTCTCACATCTATAGGAACAGTCCTGTACTGTTAAGTATACAATAAGGCTGAATATATTCCCCTGTGAGGTATCACTAAAATGTTAATTCAAAATTTAACCAATTTACAACTTACAGGGAAGATCTGACTCTGCTGAAACCTACTCACTTTTCAAAAGCATTCTGCTCTTGCAAACATGCTGCTACAGATAGTTTGAACTGTAGAAAGTTTAAAAGACTTTTATAGTTGTACTCTGTGTTGTAATATCTTTTATGCTTTTTCAGGATTTTAAGTAATTGTTGAAGTTGTTGATTGCTGTTAGTGTGTTCCATTTTAGTATGATAATCAATGGACTAAGTCATTTTAATGTTTTATTTGCATTTTCATCTGGGAAAGCAAATGTTTGTATTTTTGTCATATGTTTGTGGTTTCCTGTGATTCTCATTGTTAAATTGAAATTGATTTTTGTTTTTCATGTGCCACTAAAAACATGCATCTATACATCAAATTTTTAAAATGTTTTCAGTTATGTAACAATGCATTTTTTAAATAATTTTATTGACTTAGTTAAGTTATTCATATTTTTTTCAGCCCCCATAAAAACACTTTAATAAAATTCAAAATCACAGCTTGGATAGTTGTTTTTTATGGTTCATAATTTATCAAAAAACACACTTAACACTGTCTGTACTATTATCTCTTACCTGACTCTGATAACCTGTTATTGGTTGGGTTTTCTCAAAGTGATTTGGAAGAAGATTTGTTAGAAGAGGATTGGCTGTCAACTAAAAAGGTGAGATAAAACATATTTTTGAATTTCACACTTTCATTTTATTCTAGACACCAGTAAAGCACTAGACTTGTTAGTACGGTTTCTCCTCTTACAAGCAGGAAATAGAAAATGCATCCAAAACACTGGTTAGAGCATTTAGAAAATAGAAGTGAGCAGTGCACTTGTGACAGGTGGCTCCTCCACGGGGGGGAACTGTTAATGTGAACCAGGAGGAAGTTTAGTAGGCAAAAACAACAGTGTTAACCTGCCCAGATTGCCTTCACCACATGCCCCAGTGCCTCATACATACAAAGAGTAGAGGACAATTTCTACATATTCCTCTGTTTATATTTCAGAATCCATCAGAAGTGTCAGATGAAGAGCTGAATGATGACCTCCTACAAAGTGATGATGAGGATGTAAATATGAGGTAAGCTGAATGCATCATGTTGAAGTTTGTTTTCATTGTAAAGCTGATGAGTTTCATCTCCTGTTTTTACATTTTTTCCCAATATATTTAATGTCTCTTTTCTGGAAACTGTAATATTTTGTTTATTCTTAGTGGTCAGGATGTGAGCTTCAATGCCCCGTACAACTCGGCCACATCCTTTGACGAGCAGGAACCAAACTACACAGATGATGTTGTGAACCTGGGTGCAGAGGGCTGTGAAGAAGGGGATGTAGAGGCGGGGTACCAGCAAGATGGGGAAGAGAGGTATGTAGAGGAATACAGCCAGGATGACAACGCAGGGATGCCTGAAGACCAAATGGATTACACTGGAGAGCTAGCTGAGTGTGAAGATGGCTGCCAGGATGAAGTGTTAGACATCCAAATCAATGAGACCATAGATGGTGAATTTCAAGTGAGTCCTCACATTTGCTTACTCACACGTAAAAGCCTGTGGATGCACACACAAACACACACAGGCACATCCTCCCACACCCTTTTCTGTCTAACTCTATTGTATCCAAGAGATAATGTCAGTTTTCTTGTCTCAGTAAGAGGACGGTCAGGATTGAAAATCTATTCAGGCGAAGGAGATGTAGGTTGGCGTTTTTGGGCAGGCATGGATTAGATCCATTATCACTCCCTGCCAGTTAATTTCTCCATATTGCTGACAAAGTTTGTGTTGACAGCTTGTTTGGCGTGAGGTAGTACTCTGTTGTCACCTCCGAATCTCTGTGCCATTGTGACCTTGGACTCTGTGTTTTTGGAAGAGTAAGAATCTGCTTTGTGTTGAGAGGTGCTGCCAATCGGCAGAGGTTAATGTGGGGGGCTTTTATCTCTGGCCTTAGACTGGATCTGATAAAGTCTCATGCAGGTGAAAAGATTATTGACCTTCCTGAGGACACCCCATACAGTTTTCTAATGATTGATGCTGGTTTCCCTTTTATTCGTTTCCCTTCCCTCTTAGCCAAGACTAAGAGGATCAAAGATAAGACCAGATCCATGTGCAAATTTTCTCTGTGGTCCATTTACCAAGGCGTAATGGTGTTTGGCACCTGACAGAGATATATTAGCCTACCGCCTTTCTCTAAACAAAGATAAGATGTTGACCTTCTTGTGAAAAGTGTACACAAGAAATGAATGCCTGTTTAGGATTTTGGGAAATGTCTGCAGGTATGGATGTGTAATACAAATAACTGTTTACAAGGTCACTAAACTGCTTGATCGTGACATTTTGCACACCCTGATATTCAATAAGTACTATGTGTAACAGTTTAGAGGATTAAGCTGTTGTGTTCCCTTGGGGCAGCCTGTTCATCCATCTGATTTAAAGAACATTTTTTTTCTGCATTAATATGTGCTGGTGTATGGAACACCAAACACCACTGTGTTATTATACTTATTTAGCAATAAATTTTTACCAGAGGGTGTCAAGGCTGGTATACACTGTGTGATTTTGGGCTTTCCCAGATAACGTATGGCCAAATGTGACTCCAGAATGGTGGTTCTATGTTGCACTAAGAGAAAGCATCAAAGATGGCCAGTGACAGTCTTGTGGCCTGGGACAAAATTCTGAAATGTCAGAAATTTAGAATGATCATCTCACAATGTACAGTATCTGCTACTACAACCTATGCCTGCTAACCAACCAATAGGAAATGCACCTTGGAATGATGCACCAATCAACACAACACTGGCTTCATTGTTTACAACTATATCTGCACAGATGAGTTACTCATGCCGATGATGTTTTGTTCTGTATATTGAGTTGCTTTGTAGCCTATGATTCAGTTGGTGTTGTCATATCCATATCCATCAGTGTGATGTCGTATCAAAGTTTATGTTGCAGAGTGACTTGCAGTAAACTTAGAAGAATACTGAAATCTCAGTCTGTAGGTGGCTTTATACAGATAGGATGTTTGAATCACTAGCAACTCCTATACCAGTTGGTTTTCTGAAATCACTGAGATGTGTAGTTGAGATTATATGAAGTGATTGCATCTTGAACTGAAATGCTTTTAGCAAAAAAAAAAAAAAAAATCATTTGTCATCTCCTAGAAGGTTTGCATCTGTACCGTGTTTATGACATGGGGTTGTGAATTTACAGTGCGGCCAGTGATTTGCAAGGAGTCAGTCAATGATATTTTCACCATCACTGAAGCAAGGATGAGTGTTTTTATCTCTGCCAGCATTTCTGTGTATCATGTCAAACATTTACATCTCATTGAATTTCAAATGCTGTCAGGAATAGTAATGAAGCCTTGCTCCCACTGTTATGGTAATTTGAGTTGGGAGGGGGGGTTATATGGTGTCTCCCAAAAATCATCTCCATAACATTTTAATATTTGGCTTCATATTAGGATTTTTTTTTTTCTTCAAATTTTTAGTTCTGTCTCACTACTAAGTACTAAAATATATGTTCATTAAGCTCTTTTGCTTTTATTTAGTCATTCAAATATGTATTAAAACCTTACTTCCACATTTTGTAAAATTTGCATTTCAATGCAAGTCAGACTTATCCATGTATCCCTTATGTATGTTTGTATCCATGTGTTCCTTATATGTGTATATGTTTGCCCTATATCATGACACTATTGCTAGAAATGGATGAAATAGAAACACAAAGATCTTCTGTCAGCCATTGCTGATCTTTTTTTTTTTTTTGGAGCATTGTTATCACTTTAACTAATCAATACATATTATCCATGTGGTCTTTAAAGAATGAAGACGATTACAATTACTATGATGATGAACCTCTGGATGAACATGGTGTTCATCAGGAGGAGGCAGAAGGAGAAGAGCAGCAGCAAGAAGAAGAGGAGGAGGAGGAGGAGCAGGAGGAGGAGGAGGAAGAGACTGCAGAGAGCGCTCAGGTCTTTGACACAAAGGAGGTAAGCTAAGACCTTCCATACAGTATCTTACTTTTGTTTTTTGCTATAATTTGCTTGTATAATTTCAGAATCACCTGTTGAAACAACACATTGCACAAATAACTAACAATACCTTTTTAACCCTTCATCAAAGTGTAATTTTATTTTTAATGTAAATTTTAAGTCGAGATTTAAAGAGGTAATGTGGTCATTTTTATAAAAATTTATATGAAATGATTGAAAATAGATATTCATAGTTAAATGTTAACTATTGTAGTAGTTATTTTAGTTATCATTAAACTGTCTTGATTAACTAATTACTTGTAGAAAATTCCAAAGAAATTCTGTCATAATTACCTAAATCTTAAGATGTCATGTTCTGTCCTCTTCAGTCGCAAGATAATGGGTTTAATATTTTAGAAGGCTAAGAAAACCAGAGAACATAAATTTTGGAGGCTAAAAGTAGATTATTTTTGTATCATTGCTTAAAAATGACTTAAACTGATGATTGTCAAAATTGTAGCAGTATCAGAGAGGAGGTTTTGATGTACTGCAAACCCTGATGAAATTGAACACAAACAAGTGAAGTGTGTCACTACTAATCCCAATTTACACACAATTGTGCAAAAAAACCTGTTTACCTTAGTTTATCATTTCTGAAACTGTTTTCAGGTTGAAAATGCAGCTACCCCTGAAAAAGAAACAAAGGAGGAATCGGATGAGGAGGATGAGGAAGATGAAGAGTCTGGTCGCATCCGGTTCAAATCCGAGAGAAAGGATGGTGTTGTCATGCGGCCAGTTGATGCAAGCATTAAAAGGAGGAATATTCCTGAAACACTAGGTAGGTGTTTCCTGCCTGGGATAATTGGTCCTTGATTCACCAGTAACCAGAGTGAATTTTCAGATATTTTGTGGTTTTGAATCTTTCCTTTTACACTGTAACTAATTTACATTACTATGGACTTAAACCTGTCTTTTCTCCAAGTTTATATTTTCCCCAGATGATTATTGTACAGGTGCTTCATTTTCCTGTTTTTCTTCTATAATTAGAACTGTCAGACAAAGCCAAGCAAGACCTGAAGGAGTTTGAGGAGCAAGAACGGCAGAAGAGACAAAACCGTTTCATGGGCCAGGGTCGAGGAGGCGGAGGACGAGGCAACAGAGGAAGAGGAGGCTTCCCAGGCTTTGGAATGGCAGATTTTAGAGGAGGACACAGAGGACGAATGAATGAGCAGAGGCTTCCCCTGATGGGAAACATGGGCATGCAGGTAAACTATTACAACATTAAAGGGTTAATCTGTATAGCTACACAGATGCTCTGCTCTTATTTGGTTCTGCTCCTTCTACTACTACTACTGCTCTGGCAAAACAGCAGGCTGTACTCAAACTCACACAATGTTCATTGCATTAGTTGTGGATCAAGAACTTGGAGTGAATACAGGTTAGGAGCTGTGTATGAATGTCAGGGGTCTGCAAAGCCAGGCCTCATTCACACTAAATGGCAGCTGTTGCTGGCCTAGCCTGTGGATTGATAATTGCTCTGTGTAAACAGTAGTCCTGAGGTGGGGATGTAGTGTTTCAAAACAAGAGATGTATACCTTCTTGTATTAGTGACACTTAATGAGGCAGGGTATCTTTGTACTTAATATGTAGAGGCGTCCTAAGCGATAGTCTTTAATGCATGAAATAATCAAAACACCTGGGTCTCCTGTGTCACTGGTCATATTTGGGTTTGCTCTGCAGCAGCTCAGCAAAGAACTTCTTTTTGGGGAACAAAAGAGGGACATTTGTCTTAATTAGACTGCAACTTTGAAAGATTCCAACTCAAATTAGCATAGTGGGACAGCTGATGCTTCATTTAGAACCTCGGTTAATCTTTGGGGTGCATTTTTGCATAGGAGAGGGGCTGTTTTTGTCCCCGCTTTCTTACAATATAGTTATATTCTAGGTGGAAAGCATCAGAATCCTCAGCAGAGAGTAGGAAAAGTTAGTGACTAAGACCTCTTCTCACATACATGTAGGAACATCAGTATTGTTTTCAGACTGACTTGAAAAACCCCAAACCTATCCTTGAACCTTAAGTCTATGGTGTGTTGTTTGATAGGAAGAGGTAGCAAGAAGAGGATTAGCTGAGCTCAGTTGTCATTGCTGTCACTGGTACAAGATGGAAATTGTTTTGGTGGTTCAGGCAGCACACTAGGTATGCTGCTAGCATGCAAGCTAAGTTTTTGGTAGGTTTAGTAGGGGACAGAGGCAGTGGCATGCTGATTAGCAATCTAATTAGCTTAGTGGACCAGTTAGGTAGATACTTTACTTTCAAAGGTGAGTATTACTTGGCTGTTGCTTTTTTTTGTTTGTTTTTTAGTCACACCTAGACCCTCTAGCAGCTGAAAAGGGATCTGGTAGAATAACTTTAACATTCAATGTTTTTTTTATTTATTTTTTTTTTAGTACAGTACTTTTTATTTTCCTAATATACATTCTTTTTTGTTGTTCTGTCAGTCTTATCTTGTTTACTTGTTGCTTTAGAGAAGAGCATTGTACATGCACATTGAGAGCTACTGTACCAGAGTCAAATTCCATGTGTGTCCAACACACTTAGCCAATAAAGCTCATTCTGAATACTGGTGTTCCATAGGAATGCTTACCCAACGTTTGGCACATTTAGCTGTATATCAATAACTGCTCATACTGTCTTCTTCTTCTTTCGGCTGTTCCCGTTAGGGGTCGCCACAGCGAATCATCCGTTTCCACCTAACTCTATCCTCGGCATCCTCTACTCTCACACCAGTTAACTTCATGTCCTCTTTTAGCACATCCATATATCTCCTCTTTGGCCTTCCTCTTGACCTCTTGCCTGGCAGCTCCATCTCCAACATCCTTCTACCAATATAACCACTATCCCTCCTCTGCACATGTCCAAACCATCTCAATCTGGCCTCTCATAACTGCTCATACTGTAAATAACTAAATACCAGTGTGCATTTTTGTTAAAGCAGTTCTTCTCGAGGCTTTATAACATTTCACTCTGGCTTTTTATTAGTTGAGATTGTATTATTTAATAGCAATGGGCTTTAAGATATATAACAAAACATCAGCACTGGAAACCGGAAATGAAAATTTAAGGGCAGATGGACTACACGCCAACAACATGTACAGTCTGCTGACTGCTGTTAATGAACTTGTACCGTTTACAAGATACTGAAGTACTGGAGTGTTTGACTGTTTGTGTAATTTGGTCAATGGCATGTTTGGTAGTTAAAACAGACTGGGCAATTATCAAGGACCCACTTGAAACATCACAACTGTATAATTATTGTTCCAACAACATACTGTACATGTTGGTGCGTCCCAGGTTGATAAATTTCAGTGCTCACAGATAGCATGACTTTTGATGTTGGTCATCTTTCTGACTGTAGCTTACTTGTGATTCTACCAAAATTGCCTTCAGTTTTGTGTTGCATGTAATTTTAATTTTCAGGGGAGATTGCTAAATTACTTGAGATTACCATCTTCAGTCATATTGTTCAGTTGACTTATTGTCTTTGCATGGCTGCAAATACAGATATCAAGATCTTCCCAGAAAAAAAATGTTTTGACACGTTTTTGGTTCAGGTCCTTTCCATTTTTGTATCTCTTTCCAGTCATCTCGAATGCCTCCTCCCCATCAGCACCAGTTGCAGTCTCAGCAGCACCACTCTTCGCATGCAAGAGGACCTCTTTCCTTCCAAGAACACGGGCGTCCACTGCCCCAGCAGCCCCTTCAGCCCCTCATCCCTCCACACATGTCTCACCGCTCCCTGCCATTGCGGCCCCAAATGGATTCGCCAGCTCGGATGATGGGCTCCCCTCCACCCAACTTCCCCCAGCATCATCAGGAGCAGCCTCCACAACCCAGACACATCTATATTAACCCCCATTTTAGAGGGCCTATGTCATCCTCTGTACAGGGTAGGTCAATCCACAATCACCCAGCTTCTTATTACCAGAATTTATATAGCTTCTGTTCCATTCAAGATTTTCTTCTAATTTCCAGTGTTGTTCTGGATTCACAACAATGCTGCACAATTCGTAGTATTAAAGCTGTAGTTTTGCTGTTTCCTTTTACTTGACAACAGGTCTGCCACCCCTGCATTAGTATGGAGATGTATTGCATCAAACATGCTCTCCTAATTATGTCCACAAGGTGTCTCAACAAATAAAAATACTGGGTTTATACCACAGAATAACCTGTGCAAAGGCAGAAAACCTGTACCAAGGAAAAGGTCAATATCTGTGGAACGTTATGGATTCAAAGATGATGTCCAAGCACATAATTTATAAACAATGCTTTCCATAGTTGCTGCTAATGTACAGTATACATATAATAAATTGTGCATCTGTATTAAAGTAGTTCATAATAAAATTAGATTTTTTTTAATTATTATTATATGGTAGTCCAGTTAAGCATACTGACATTTTCTGTATTGTCAGAATTTAAGTCCAGCAGTTGACTTGGCAAGAAAACAGAAATGCACCAACTATTTTTAATTGAAAAACAACTTGTCTTAGAATTATAATCTAAAGTCTGAGTATAAAAATCATAATTATCAACAAGAAGCTCAGTTGAGTTGCACGGTGCTGTTTGGTTGGCAGTTATCCTCATGCCATCCTGAAAGATTAGAATGTCATTTTGGTGTTTGGTTGAATGACAAGTGAATTGCTCTCCCAGCCAGTAATGGGCTTATCCTGCCTTTTTTTCTGGCAGCATCACCATTTCATTCCCTGAGATGGGTTTATCAAGCCTCTCTGTCCAGGCCAAGATTGAAATTTTGTTAGCAAAGCATGTTAGCATGTGTGTCACTGGGGGGGGGGTTTGCTCAGAGAATGAAGTGTGCTGGAAGGTCAGGGTTGCCTGTGGTTGTGATTAAGGATGTTTGTATCAGTGTCAGTTGTTTATGTATTCTGTTTTCCAGCTGTAAATGTACTGATGTACATTTACAATAATCCTTACCTTACCTTGATTGTGATGTCAACTGTTGTCAAATAGTAAATGTCTTATTCATTTTTATTTGTTGAGTTTTGCTAAGTGTATCATGTATTGACTTTTCTTGAGCTTGTGCTCAGCAATGTAAAGATGTGAGGAGCAACTCTGACATAAAATTTATGTCTGTAGAATAGCCTTTATCATGGAGATGTCTGAAGGTCTCTTCCCTATCTAGTAATACCCTCTCTTTGCCTACTGCCCTTCACTTTCATTTTTCTCTTCCCACCCCCTCCACCCCTTGTTCTTTATGTCTTTCTTTCTCTTTCTCATTGCAGTGCCCTTGATGCCTCCTGTTCAGAGCCAGCCCAGACCTGCTGTGGGTCCTCAGAGGTTCCCCGTGAGTAGCAGCTGCTCCTCTCCCTCTTTTTCACCTCACTTGCTCTTCTTCTCCACCCATTGTGCATCTTGTTTTTATGAAGCAGTATCATTACAGCAATTAGATTGCCGGGCCTGGCCAAATACATTTAAAGTAAATCTGTAAACATTGATATGTGTCTGGCTCCACAACTGGGAATGCGTGATAGAGGGTTTAGGCAGTAGGATTTTGGAGGTTGGGGCTGCAGTGGCGGGACTTAGTTAACAATCCGTCATGGATGTACTGGGGCTCAGACTAGCCAGCTTGGCACATAATGGAATTGTGAAATCAGGCTATATGGCCAGTTAAAATTCACTTTTCACACGTTTGTGTCTCAGAGGCACCAAGACCCTTTTTGAACGGTATTTGAATTAATGAAACATAGTGGTTGTTTGATGAGGCTGAGTTGAGCCTCTTGCCTTTTTGCACTATGCATTCTGAAGGTTGAATTTCAAGTCTGAAAAAAAGAGATCTTAAGTCAGTGATTTTCTGTAAGAAAAGGTCCTTTATTTCACTCGCACATAACCCATTACTAAGTGTGATGTTTGAAGTTCACTGTGGGAAATACTATGACCTTATTTTTGTGTATTGTGTTTTAATACTTTATCGCCCTTATGTAACTTTTTTTATTTTAAGACCTAGTGTTCTTTCCGGCTTTTGACTCCTTACCTGACTCCAAAGGAAAGCTGCACAAGAATTTCTATATGCCTAGACTGTCTGTTTATGCACAAATGGCAAATAAAAATCTTGAATCCATCCAAAAAGTGATGAATGCCTTTAAAGTAATTACTGTATCAAAGGAAATGATTTGCCAGCAAGTGAGCCAAAGCACTTTTAGTTATTTTGTCCTTCTGTTAATGATGCCCAGGCATCAGGTGGCACTGGTACTGACTGACATCTTCCTGGAGCGTGCATTTTATATGGATTTATGCAAATTAGCCTTGCTAAATAGCTGGATCCAATTGCATTCGTGTGGATTTCGAACCTTGTTGCCATATGAGCCAGACTTTCACAAAGGAGTCAATCTTGCCAGAAAAGAAAAACTGTATATTTATCTTTTTCAAACTTCAGTGTCAGTACCATGCAGTTGTGTTAGCTGAGGTCTGTAATGATGCTTGATATTGATAGCATGGTCGCAGGGGTTTTTTTTTTTTTTTTGGACTCCGGTCAGACAGTAGAAGGTTGGGTTGGAAGGGTATGCAGACAACTGGATAGTACATAGGATTCCCCAGCTGTCAGTCGCGTTTGGGCTGCTGTTGCCAAGGACACAATTTGAAATGCACGTGACATACCAACCGGCAACAATCCATTTACCAGTGGGCACCTGATTACTCATGATTATCATACATTATCATCCCATCAGATTTAATTGTTAAAAGACCAGCAGAGGGGGGGGGTCATAGCCTCTAGTGTTGCTGCATTAAATTTTAGCTGGCAGAAGCTGGTTTTGAAATATTAATCTGTTATTAATATGTTTAAATAGTGACTTTCAGTAATCAGTAGGAACTATTTCTAATAGTAAGTATCTTTTTGAAATCCCTTTTCTTGTTGCACATTTAAATTCTTCCTTGATGGCAGTTAATGGCAGCCACAGCTCCTTGGCTTGTAGTCTCATGAACAATCCCAGATCCTGTATACAAAGAATGACCAACAGTAATGTTTTGTTAATGTCTGTAAGAAGTTAACATTAACCCAGAAACATAACATCTCTTTAAACTGAAATTTCCATTCTCTATTAAATATGTGACGTTTGGCCCCTTTCCATTATATTTGTCTTAGCTATTCCCGCACTGCTAAGCACTGTCCTAGCATCACTTACATATTGAGTAGCCTGCAGCCTGTTTTTCAAGGATTAGAAATGAGAGGATGAGCTGTGTTATTGTGGAGGTATTAAATGGACATCAGAGTTCTCATTGTGCAAACCTGCCTGTCTGACCTTTTAGAACAGTATGATTGTACCCCTATTGTGATCCCTTGTCTTTGTAAGCCCCTTTGATTAACTTTCTGTTAAGCAAGTTTTTGGGACTCAGGCCTTCTAGCTTTCTAACACCTCTCCTCTCTAAATAGTGCCACACAGGAGCAGAATAAAGATGGATTAAGCCTTGATAGCATCTTAAGTAATTTACAATAGGCTTGGAGGAGGCAAGCAGCCGATTTGTTGAAGTGCCACGTGTTGAATAGCAGGTTAATTTTTCAACAGAGATGGATATTTAAAAGAATAAAGGAGACAGTTATGAGGGGGATTCGAATTCCAAGGAGGGATTAAAGGGTTGTTATCTAGTTTTCCTTGGAAGTTAGATGTGAGTAGCAAGCATGCAATGATTAGAAAGCTGTTGAACATACGGTGTGGTTGAAACAAAGATGAGGGCTCTTATCCCCTCCTGAAATACCCTCTCCTTGTTAGAGAAGGGCTTTTAGAAGGTTTATCAGCAAAGCCCCAAGATGCATTAATGTGGGTTTGCTCATGAATTCATGCTGAAGGGTTTCTTTAATATTGGCATGCATATTGATGGTTACAACTCAAGATTCTGCATCTTTTTAATGACCCGAGCCCTTCAGTTATATGTGCTCCCTGCCCAATGCAGTGCTGCACAACAAAGTCCCATTTTTCATTAGTTTAATTTGTTTTTGATTATTGAGGTCCCAGAATGGCCTATAATTCATGATTTTTGTGTTTTCTCAGGGACCGGGAGACTTCCAGCAACACTTGCCTGGTAATTTTGGTCAGCCCCATCGGCCACCTCATCACATGGAACCCTATAGGAACCAGCCACCTCAAGGCCCCCCGAACAGAGAGCCGCTCTTTATGGGAGGTGAGTCCCACACCCAGGCTTGATGAAGGTTGCAAAAGCTCTCTCTCTCTATTCAGGATCACCTCTGGTACTATAACTGTATGGTATGTTGCTAACTTGCTCGTGCTGCTTCATTAGAAACACTCATGCTAAATGCTTCTGTATACAGTGGCTTCAAAGAATGTTCAAAGCCTTTACTGATTTTCACATTTCGATTTAAATTGATAACATTTCCATTTTTTCCTATAAATTTACACACCACTCGTAATGACGATATGTGAATATGTTTTTAGAAATGTTTGCAAATTTTATAAATATCAAAAACCCATATCTCTCATTTACAAGACTATGTAGACCCTTAGATGTGGCATTCCAGATTGTGATCAGGTGCATCCTGACTTGGATGAAGGTTCACCTTCCAGCATGATAATCCATACAGCCAAGACAACACTGGAGTGTCTTCAGGATAAGTCTCTGAGTGTCCTTGAGAGGCCCAGACCTAAATCCCATAGAGCATCTGTAGAGAGACCTGAAGCTGGCAGTTTACAGACACTTCCCGTCCAGTCTGATGGAGCTTGAGAGGATCTGCCAGCAAGAATAGGATAAACTGCTCAAATCCAGGAGTACAAAGCTCATAGAGACTTAGCTAAGAATACCTGAAGCTGTAATTGCTTCCAAAAGGGCTTCTACAGTGTACTGAATGAAGGGTTGTAATACTTTTGGAATTGATTTGAACTTTTTAATATTTAATAAATTTGCAGCAGTTTCAGGAAGCATGTTTTTAGTTTGATATTATGGGTTAAGTCTAGATTGATGGATTGATTTTTCATTCACAGTTCATTAATTGGTTATTTACCATTTCCCTTTAAACAACACTATACACTGTAGAGAGAGAGTTACTGATGTGTTCACATTGGCTCATAAGGCTATAAAGGAACCTAACATCTCTGTTCATTGTTGTTTGGGTTTTCCCATGTGGTCACAGATCGCACAGAGTCGGCACGCTTTCCAGGGCAGCACATGTTTGATCCCCACAGCAACAACCTCCATCAACAGCAGCAGCTGCCCGGCCAGGGCCACATGGGCTTTAGCCCATCAGGACCAACTTTTAACCAGCCAGGCCAGAGCCCAGTCGGGCTGTTTTCAAGAGAACCCCCAAGACCCAACATCCCTCCCCACCAAGGTCACGAGGGGTTGGTCGGCTTGAATCAACAAGGTGGCTCGTCTAACCATCCCAGGCCTTTCATGAGCCCCCGTCAGCAGTTTGGCCAACAGGGAAACCTGTTCCCCCCTCCGCAGGTTCCATTTGGGATGCAGGTACGCATAAGAGTAAGTAATTTTCTTATATATAGGTGATGGCTGTGTATTTGTGTTTGTAAGAGTTATGTGTTTTTTCTTTATTTCCTCTACAACTGTCTTGAATTTGCTTGTAAATATGGCAATTTAGGTTTTTTAAGCATCTTCTCTTATTTGTGACAATTCTTGGTAACAGGCAAACAATTCATATGCTTTCTGTGTTGTAAATGTATTTTTGCCAGCTTTGTTCTTGATTATTGAAATAGTTTTGGCAAATGGCATGACTAGACTGCTGGATCATATTCACTACTTTAAGGAAAGACCCATGACTATTTGGTCAAGAGACATACATAGACAAGAGCTCCCTCTAGTGATCAAATCATTATTGTAGTACTACTATGTGGATGCATGAGGACACCAGTTAGAGGTTAATCATATGCAGAAATTGTCTAATTCAGTGTTGACAATAAGACAATGCATAAGAGCTGTTGCTGTGGTTTTAAAATTTTTAAATTGACATGAACATTTTTCATTATGTGTGGTAATCAGTTCTGGTTCAACTTATTAATTAGGTTCTGTTTTATCATCTATTTTGATTATTTCAGGGTTTAATGCACAGCTCTCCTGTATCCCAGCTTCCGCATCACAACCCACTGCCATCCCATCAGACCATGCAGCAGCAACACCATCGGCAGGAGTTACCCCATCATCAACAGCTAAGTCTCAATGAGCCTCGTCCCATGATGCACCATAGCCAGACTCCCTTCCATCAACAGCATGCGCGTGGTACCCCCAGGCTGATGACACTCCGCCCTCAGAACTCCCTGCAGCGCAACATGTCCAACAGGCAGAGGCTGGTGAGAGACAAACATAATCACTCTGTTTTAGGCCAAGACTGATGAAAAGCACTGGGTTTGTAATTTATTGCTGTCATTTTAGTATTATTCTGTCAACATCATTCCTCAATAAACAAAACATAGCATGGTGAAACTGTATAGAACTAAATGCACACAACATGACATGTTTACATTTTGCCCTTTTCTTCAGAACACACCTGTTTCCAAGCAATTGCAGCAGCGCAACAGCAACTTGCGCGAGCTCCCTGTAGCACCTAGCAACACAGACATGAACAGTGCCCGCCCAGCCACCACCCCCTCCTCCCTAGCCAACAACATCAGGCCTGTTGCCAAGGCAACACAGGGGGTGCGTCCTGGGCAGAACACCGAGCCGGAGTGTGATGGTGGCAAAGGAGGAGGCCAAAGTGTTGCCAAGAATCAGTCGCTTGGGGGAGCAGGCAGGGCCGTGGTTCACAAGGAAATCCCAAGCACACCAACTAGCACGGCACCAGAGGTCAGCACACCAGCCAGCACAGCACCGGAGGTCAGCTTTTTAACATGCTTGGAAAAAAAATAATAAAAAAAAACAGACTGGGAAAATATTGAGCTTGTATGGGGCTTGTTTGTTTGCACAAATTATTTCATAACCATGTATTATGCTTTCTCAAATATTCTCGGGAGTTAACCTGCTGAGCTTTTTAGTGTGCCAAGGAGGACTTTTAATAGAAACGTCCAACAACAAGGTTGTCAGCCACTGCTGTCTCTTTCCATTGGAAAGAACATTGCTACTGCATTTTTCCCTTGGGTTTTGATTTTTATTACATTTTAGGGTTAACCTGAGTAATATGGTTCAAATAAGGCAGTGGCTCATGGCTCACCTTCCAGTAAATGGAGCCAGGCAGAAATATTTTCAGCTTGTGTTTTGTGCTACAGGACCCTGATGAGGATGAGGAGACGCAGCAGTATCGTATGAAGATCGAGGAGCAGAAACGTCTGAGGGAGATGATTCTGAAGAGGAAGGAGATGCGGCGGCAGATGCAGGCTGGTGTCAGAAAAAAGGAGCTACTGGAAAGACTCAATTCCCAGACAAACACTCAGAGCCAGGGCCTCGCTCCTGCACAGATTCAACCTGAGCAAAAAAATCAGCAGATGCCACACCCTGCAGAAGAGCAGCAGCCAGAACAAAAACAGCAGCAGCAGCAGCAGCAATTACAACCACTTCAGCAGAAGCCGTTTCCACAGAGAACACAACAATCATTAAATCAATTATTAAAGAACCCTAATCAAGGTACACACATCCCTCCCAGTGGCACAACTCAGACCCCTACGCCACGTACCAGTGTCAAGACACGCCTGCAGATGGTAAAAGGAAGCCCTCAGCAGCAACAGACTGGGCCTGGCCCAGACCAACAGTGGAAGCAACCCCAACAAAATCAGCAGCAGTTCCAACAACGAAGGAGCAGTTCTCTGCAGAACATAAACAGACCAGGCACTCAGATCCTGGGCAGTCAGATCCAGTCCACTCAAAAGAACATACCTTTAACTGCTTCAGCGAGCCCTGGCCCGGCTCAGAATCAAGGACTTAAACCCGGGGCCAAAAGAACTGTGATGCATCGGTCCAAGAGTGTCGAAGGCCACCAAGTGCCACAAAAAGTCAGAGTTGTTAAACTTTCAGGAGCGGTGAGCATATGGTTTTATTTTTCTTCTGACACCTTCTCTTGTGTTTTGGTCCGACATTTATTTGATCCTCTTCAACTGATTTTTGCCCACTGGGGAGACGGCGCAGTTTTAAAATGAAATAGTTTTAAATGCCACTGGATGCCCTCATGCTGTCTGTTTTGTAATCTAAAAGCTATCTAACCTATGGGAATGACAAATGATGTCTGTGTCATTTTGGTAAAATTGATCTGTTAAGAGTTTCCTCTCTTAAGCTTTGGGAACTGGTATTTAAGGCTCAATGCTTTTATGCACCTTTAGAACACAGTAAGGCTGCAGACATTTAGGAGAGCAGTATGACATTTTTCTGTAGAGTTGGGGACGTCTCATCACTGCTCTTAAAGGTTCATATCCTTGTTTAAGAGGACAAGCGTATTCTGAAAGACAGAGGCCTCGGGGACTGTAAAACAAGAGTGACAGTAACGCCAACAAAGTCCAGAATCACCAGTTCTGGCTATTTTATGTTCACTTGATAAGTTCCTGCTGTTGCCTTAATTACACATTAATCTTTATTGAAAAACCACAAAGGCATGCATGTTAAACATTCATACTTGTCACTGATAAGACATGTTGGTGGGATGTGATAGTATTAGAAATAAGCCGCTTTCCGACTCCAGAGGATCAAGCTTCAGAGCCAAAATCGCAGGCTGGCTGCAGATGAAGATAACTGGGTGTCAGTGCATTAATGGAAACCTGTACACAGTTATCTGATGTACCGCATCTTGGAGAAAAAAGGGGAGTGTGATACGAGGTGGAGAAAGAGAGATGGAGACAGAAAGACACAGCTAAGGCCTATAGCCACGGTGAAAAGAAGATTCTCTAGGTGCTTTCTCGTCCTCATTGTGCGGCTGTCATCAGCGAGAGCTTGACAATGTTATCTCCTTTCCTCTGTTTTTTTTCTTACTTTCTCTCTTCCTCTCTGTCATCCCTCAGTTACTATTTTCCATCAACCCGTCTCTCAGGTGTGAGGCAACAAAAGAATGCCAATTCAAGAGCCTTGTAATTAATCTTTCCTGGTTGAAGGGGGAGCAACATAATACCTGTGTAAGAAAGTTGCCACTTTTGAGGATTTGTATTTGTATGGCTTAGGCACACAGATAAGAGGCAAATTATATTTTCATCGGGGATAATACAAAGCAGCGCAAGACACAAAAGCTGGAGAGAAGGAGGGGCGCGAGGGGGATGGGGTACACATCGAGCTGCTGTCGTTCCAGTGTAATGCAGCTTAGCATTTGATGGGTGCAATCAGGAGCTGTGATTTCTATAGGAGGGATTAATCTATTTACTCTCAGCTGGGACAGGTCAGAGATATCGCCTCCTTTCTTTCCCCGTATTGATCTGTCACATCTCTCCACAGAGTTGGGAAGAGACGACCTTCAATTCTTCCCCATATGTCAAGAGAGTTGAGATGTGACTTTATTTGATAATGAGACCATCACCTTGTTGGGTTGATCTTTATTCTGTACAGCCAGTGTGATAGGGATCCAGCTCCAGTGCTGGCACATGGCCTTTTCCCCTCTTGTCCAGAAACTTGACACTTTGCCTAAAAGCATAATGTGAGCAAGTTTGTGGTGCCTGCAAACTGAGATAAAAGCTGGAATTTTATTTGCGGTATTAAATCATTCCCATCCAGAGTGGAAAGGGACCTGAGACCACTTGCACCCCAGTGCAGCAACAAGGCACCTGGCTGGCATCGCTGCTCAACCAGGGCATCCAAAGGAAGGTTACCATGCCAGGACAGCAGCAACAGGGACTGGGTGCAGCACCACAGGCTAGCCAAGGAGGCATGGTCAACCCACAGCAAAACAGGGTATGTCATAAATGACCGCATGCCTTCTTCTGTACTGTGGACACCAGTGCCTATTTCACCCAAAGATTATATATGAATAGAACAGACTCTGGGGCAATGGCAGTTGAAATATAGAAGCAGCTGAAATGTCTGGAGTAAAGTTGTCCTGTGCCGCTGGCGCTAACCTGGCATTCCGTAAACATACCAATCATGCTGTAGTGGTGATAAGACAGTATGCCAGGTGCAGCAGTACTGACAAGCTGAAAGCAACGTAACACAGGGGGGCTACACAAGGTCCCTTGGCCTTTTCTGCACGCTTGTCACCACCAGGCTCCTGTCACAGTTACCATACTCATGATGCTGACAGGGTAAGGCAGCCACCATAACGCTTGCATGGCTCCTCTCCCTTTATGCTCCCCTGCCCAAAGCTCACACACAAATCTACCTCCTCTCTTTTAGGGATCTCTTCCTCCTCTGCAGCTGAAGAAACAAACCTCTAACTTATGAGTTCATATGAAGATCTGTCATGCCACGTACATCATGTTCTGACATTGATGTTCTTTTTGAAAACATAAGTCAATCATGTGAGAGCAAGGTGTGTCTGAGAGTGGAAAACAGTTCTTAAATTTGTCTTTCTGTTGAGAAACATCTGCACACAGATGAATGCAGGACTAACAACATGCCTGTTTAAAGCAGAAAAAAGTGTCTGTATTTTATCCATTTGTTTCCTAAATATTCTTGGTACATTCCTTCCTTTGGGTTATTTCTCCTTTGTTGCTGGTCTAGGTTGTCATGTCAGGTAGAGGTAGAGGGAGCGGTCAGATGGGTCGAGGTCGTTCGATGTCCGCCAGACCGAGCCAAAGAAGTGGAGAGAAAGAGCGCTGCACTGTGTCCATAGAGGGCCTCTCTTCATCCACAACTAACATGCAGCTGCAAAACCTTCTCCGGTCCATTGGCCCCATAGAGGTAGGTGCCATGTGCCTTAAAACTTCATGTTCGAGTGTAGTAAATTATTATATTTGACTTAACTATATTCCAATTTATAGCAAGAGTAGCAAAACTGGCAGTAAATTTAAGCTACATAGCTCATAATAAAAAAACTTGCACCCACAGGGCGGCAATAATGAAATGTTCTTGGTGTGATCACATAGCGCCCTCTGTTGTAGTCATTAGGTAGGTAGTGGACTTGAATGAATTCATCAGTTTCCCTTCACCACCCTCACTCCCTCTTGTGGATAAGAAGAGTATGTAGTTCTATTAAATGGGTACTTCTCTATTCCTGTGTATCACAGATGTTCACAATGATGCCCCAGCAGAGGAAAGCAATTGCCAAATTTACCTGTCCCCAGCATGCAGCAAGTTTTCAGATGAGCTTCCACAGGTGATCACTTGCTTGTTTTTCTTCATCCTTATTTGCATGGCAGTTCAGTTATTACATACTGTACAGTAGTCATTTGGTATGGTCTTGAAATGTAGTTTCAAATCACAAATCAACTGTTAATTAGTATCTCAGCCCCCTGACACACTGGTTCAAACTTTATCACAATTACCACACAGGCATATGATTGATTTATCCCACATTGACGTGTCACTGATTGATGGATGAAGAGCACACTTGAGCCAGCGTGTCCTGCTACGGGAAGTCACTTTCTTCTGATGGGGTGGTATCCTGTGCACAGCTCCAGCTCAGCATAGGAATATGTCTTCAGCTCTTTGGGGTCACTCACAGTGAACGTCTCTGCACAGAAACATTTCTCATCAGTTGTGCCCAGTATGCTTGAACAGTGAATACAAAGACATCAGTAAAATGAGACCGCAGAGACACTGGACAGTTAATCTGACGATGATGTGGTTTGTGGAGAATCTTTTTGTACATCTAAGTAGAACTTATCATAAGATAATGGTTGCTCCCCACCTCAGAAAGATTCATAATGACAACTGTTTTGCTATAAAATTAATATTTTGGCTGTTTGAGGATTGCTGTGGCCAGCCTTTCCATGTGGGATTTTTCTTATTAGTGCTTCTTCCTTTCTGTAGATGGCAGCATTGCATCGCTATTGGGGCTTTTTTCCTTCTTAATTCAAGTCAGTGTTCAGGTAGAGATGAGTCTCCAGTCTTCAGCTGAATGGCACTACCTAGTGGAGAACTTGCATAAGGGCACAGATGTTGCTTGGTGTGATGATTTAACATTGGACATTGCCGAGATTTGAACCAAACTGGCAACATGAATACATTTTTATTTGATATCAGTGCTGTTGGGAGTTGTGAAATTGTTATATAGGTTTTGTGGTGCTTTAATCTCAGCTTGTTCAGGTCCTCTCCCTCATTGAAGTTAGCTAAAATATCGACTTAAAATTTACAACAAAGGGGCAGCGTTGAATGACCAAGCAAACTGTTAGCTGGAATGCATTTTGGAAAAGTCTTCCTTCCCTTTTGGGTGTATATATGTAGTTGTATGTCTGTTTATGGAGCAGTTAGACTTAGGTTCTGTGTTTTTAAAGGTCTGTGTGATAGTTTTTTGTTTTGTTTTTTTTTTAATGATGACACCTGTTGGGAATTTAATTAGCTTTTTTTGGTAGGTCTGAGAATTGCTTGCAGTTCTCTTCAGGGTTTACCAATTTCTGTAATTGTTTTTAGCCATTATATCCATTTTATTTTCTCCAGTCTGAATTAATCAGTCTGAATCTGGGTGAATGTCAGTTAAAATGTGGTGCCTTATCACTGAGTTGCATAGTGTAACTGGAATAGCACTTTGAATAAAAGGCTTTACACTGAGCTGATAATGTAGTGGTGGTCCCAAATGCTGAATTCCCCTTAGTATAATGTAGACATGTCATATATGGTGATCTTTAAAGTAAAATATTATTTCTACAAAATGTCTTCAGAAAACTGTGGTAAATAGTAAATAAGTAGAGGCCGCTGTCACTAATGCAACACTTGGGTTTTGTCCGGTCCTTTCGCCCTCATTCGAGGAATGCTATCACATCATAGAAAATTTTGGATGCTAACATTTTATTAACTTCATGTCTGGCATTCAGTTGGATTTCATGAGACATTGATAAATACAGCAAGTAAAGCTCACATTCTTTCCCCATAATCCCATGACTCACTCAACATTTTGTCAGTTTTGTAAAGAAAAAGAACATCTTTTATCTATTTTTACTTTTAACTTCGTCTGTTTTGTGAGCATAAATTGTAGGTATATGACATAAGAAGGTGAGGGGGCAACCATTATCTGTGCGGTGATTGTGTACATAAGTAGACCAGATCTTTCTCTCTGTGTGTTTATCCTATTATAATTCCTTTGAGTTTTCCTTTACTCATGTTGTATCACAGTTTTATATGTAAGAATATGCCGACATGTCCAGCCATAATTCAAAGTGTTTTGGAATTAGAGGCAAAAGTGACTGGACCAGATTTCTGTTTATAAAACAAAACGTTTAGGGGGGAAAAAGAAAATAAAAACATGGCCACTATACCATGATCATGCAGGTATGTGAAGCCAGTCAAACTTTAGTCCAAAGATGTGTGGTTGTGTGTGGTGTCCACGTGTTTGGTGCCTTCAACATGAAACGTCTTTCTTATTTGTGCCACATTTTCTTCATTTAACCTGTCACTTCCTGGGTGCTCAACTTGTAACAAATCACTTACTTTTAAAAACTATTTGCTAACTTGGGATTAAAGTGCAGTTCCTGAGTAATAATTTTAATAATTTTAGAAGTGTAAAACAACAATTAGTGACGAAGTACGTCTTCAAAGATGAAAAGGAAAGCCACTGAATTTTGGCATTAAGATCATTTGCTGCATAGTCAGAAACAAGAGTGTCATCCTGCAATTTTAACCGTGATGTTATACTCATGTGCTGCTCCATGACATGACATGACATGAATACACCATATGAATAGGTTCATTATTACACTACCCTACATGACTTCACTGGGAAGTATTTCACTTTAGAGCAAACAGCGTTAACATATTAATTGTTTAACTCTTTAAAGTCTTTTATTTACTGTCAGAAAATGAATTGCCTGCTGTGCATGTGGATGACATCACAGACCGAGACTTAAGAAGTCGTGGTTTATGTTCACAAATACTGTGCCCTTGAATGCACGAGTGAACGTGTCATAAATTTAGTGGTATTTCCCTTTAATTAATCTTGAAATAAGATAGAATCCATAAAACAAGCTGGTTCTAAACAGGAAAGGTACTGGGACTAATGGGCTGTCTGGAGACTTTTAAAATTCTTTCTTATTCCCTGTAAAACTTGAGGTTGTCTGGTTTCAAGTCTTTTGTATGTTTTACAGTTGTTCTAAACTGACATTTTTATTCTGTTTTGTTCTTTTTGTTTTGGGCCATGGTAAATCCTGTGGATTTGAAAAAGTATCGGGGGTGCCCGTCAGTGATGTTTATAAGACATTTGGTCTTGTGATAACAACAGATTTATATTGAATCTATTTGTACCTTAATATTTAAGAGTTGCGTACATATAGAAGTACATGTTCTAAGTCTCAGAGTAATTACTGAGGAAAATGGTGCTCTCCTATAGTGTGATTTATTGATTACATCATCTTCATTAGATATTTGATTCAGCAAGGCTCATCTGTCTGACTATGGGCCTTTCTTCAGAGACCTTTATTATGGCTGCTGTTGACTGGGATGGGTTCTACACAACACTAACTGCTTCTTTTTTTAACAGGTCCATTTCAAGGATGAAGGATGCTGAGGTTGTGCAGACTGGCTGAAATAATCAATTCATTCTTTTTTTTTTCTGCAGGTCATGTCCACTTCAATAGAGCAGTGTCGCAGGCAGTCATCTCTGCAGGGACCATACCAAGGGTTTAACGCGTTTTGGCAAACCGGTTATAATGTGCTACTTGCAGTTTTAGAAATAAGCTTTTAGATGTATTACCTAATGAAGAGCAGTTGTTGGTCTTTGTTCATGTAAGCACTTTTTGTAAAGTTGCTTTATTTTTTGTTTCTTTATTTCATAATGATGCACTTTACTGTTACTGGTTGCTCAATATATTAGGTGCATTTTTAGGTCACTTAAGACTTTTGGTTTAAAAAATAATGAATCTGCTAGACAACACAAAACCAAAGAATTTTTATCAGGTTTATTTAATACAACTTGTTTTCAATTTGTGCTAAACAAGCAGGGAGATACAGTTGATCATCTGCAGTTTTTGGCTTAGTTCAAAGAACAGGCCTTCTTCATGAGAAAGGTGCCAATGGGTTGAGCGAAAGCACGCCAAACCGCTGGTATGGTCCAACTTCCTTGTGTAGTCACACTGGGCTGTTTGAAGTTGTCACTGCATGATGGCAACTATTTCAGTTTGTCTCACAAGCACACACTTGATTTATCTGATTTTTTCTTTTCTTTTTTTATCAAATCAGAATGACCTATAAGATTCATTTTCAACAGCAGGAAGACCAGTTACCAGCTTTATCCATGATACTCCTTTGTCACCTTTTCTGCCTTAACTCACTCACCTAACACTTCAGGTTTTCTTACAGCTATGCAGCTTGCAGCCTTGAAATGAAGACTTTACTTGAACTTGCTTCCTTCTCTAAATAGATGTTGCGTTCAGAGTATTGGGCCCTACTTGCTGTTGCTTATCTTTGCATTTACTCATTTTTACCTCGATGCTGCTATTACTGAATGAACTTGAGGCTTTTGTATCAAGCAGGGAGGCCTACCTGGATTATCGTTGTTTTTAACCGTTTGGATGGAGGTTTCCATCTCTGTGACGACAGCCGGGTTCACAGAGCAGACATGTAACTCTAAAGCCACTTTATGGCTTTCACTGCACCAAAGGTCATCCCAGCTTCTTGGCTTTCATTGTTTGGTTGGATTTTGAAAAAGACACTACAGTGGTTTCTTCATCTCAAATAATATGGTGCACCAAATAATGACTGAAAATCCAACCTGCTGAGTTTTATCAGAAATTGTAGACAGAGCATCTTGTCACGTGGTTTCACACCTATTATAATCGTATGAAGAAACTGTAATTGTGTGTCAATGTTCCAAACTTCCTGTCAGTCATTCTGGTGCTGTAAACTGTTATTTTGTTAAATGTTCGAATTGTCAGAAATGTAATATTTTCAAGAGATGGAATTTGTTACATTCTATACCAGAAATGGAAGGAAAATAAACTTTTTGGCATGCCCAACCTCACTGGTTTTGTTTTTATTGTGAAACTGGGAATGCTGGCACTTTGTGTAGTTCAGACCTCCTTCACTTCAGACCACAACAACAAAGGTCCTTCGCTCAGGAGTAATTGCCTAGACTAAAATGGGTGTCCCCTGAAGCAGTGGTCCCTGACCTTTTTCAGAAGTCAACCCTTAAAATGGGTTGTATACTTGATATTTAGTCATGACAGTCCCTTGGAGGTGTCCCGTCCTCAAGGTGTCAAATGTTTGGATACACATTTCACTGTAGTTCGGTGGGAAACGGTCCAAATCTTGGACTAGTAGTGTATAAAATAACAATTGCATAGTAAACAAGTGTTTTTTAAAAGTTTTATACTGTAGATTCCTAAACCTAGCCACCTTTTTCCTTGGTGACCACCTGTAATGTTTTTCATTTAACAGGTGCGCCTGATCAAAGGTCACTTAGTGGAATCATTTGTGTTGTAGCCAACTGACATGGTGTTGGTATACTGTAAATATCCCCATTTGACTAAGACCTGCTCAACTAAGTAGAGAAACTGCAGTCTATCATTACCTTAATACATGAGCGTCGGTCCAGAAACTTGTGAGAACTTTGAATGTATCTTCAAGTGCAGCTTGCAAAAACCATCAAATGCTATGATAAAACTGGTTCTCATGAGGGCCGCCCCAGGAACGAGAGAGCACTAGTGAAGAGGATAAGTTCATCAGTTACAAGCCTCAGGAATCACCAGATAATGGCACCTGAGATTAGAGCCTACATAAATGCTTCACATCTCACCATCAACTGTGTGACTCGTGTCGAAATGCTGCTACACAAGAGGATGAGAGCTGCATGGGCCAAGAAACACAAGGAATGGATGTTAGACCAGTGGGAAACTGCACTTTGGTATCAGGAATCAAATTTGAGGTTTTTGGTGCCAACCGTCGTGTATTTGTGAAATGCAGAGAAGCATCTGCATGATTGGTTCTTGCTGTCAAAAGTGGAAGCAAAGCCGAAGCTGGGTCTATCATACTGTATGTCTCCTGCTAACACTTTGTTTCCTACATAATTTGTATTTCATAAACTGTGTCTCCGGTATTATACAATGTAGAAAATGGTAAAAATCAAGAAAACCCCTTGAATAAGTAGGTGTGTAGAAATGTTTGACTGGCAGTGTATGTTCAGATCCAGGTCCAACAGGAAAGATCAGAAAAACACTAAACTAATTTGGATTCAAATTGAAGTCAGTTGTAAAGGTGTGATAGCTTGCGAAGGCTCAAATCCTTGTAGGTTTTCTTTCCCTCCAACTTACCACTTGCATCATTAGCGATCTGCTGGGTGCTCCACAGAGGAGTAAATGTTGACAGGAGAGAAGGAGTACTGCCATTTGTAGAACTCTTAGAAACTGGGAATTTTGTTTTCCAGGATGCCAGACTGTTCATGTTTGCAAATGTCAACATTTGTAAAAGCCAGTGTTGATCTCCAGCAGACTGGGGGCCCCCAGAGGGATTAGAGGAGGCTCTGTTTACCTGTTCTGTGGAATGCTGCCCTGCACAGACGCTTTTGTATCTGTCAGGGACCCAAGGTCACTGTGTGGGGAGAGATGGGCTGCTTTGTCCCTTTTCCAAAGTTTCCACCTCACAATATCAACAACAAAACACAATGTGGGAGGAGGAAATGGAATTCCTGTTCATGTTGCAACAGTGTTCAGAAGCTCATGTTCACTGGGCTCTTTTACCTTTCATAAGTCTGGGTGAAGAATGGGTTAGATTTTTTTGTTTAGAGCTGAAAAACTATTTTTAAAAAAGATTAGGTTTAAAGATTAACTTCTGTTTTCACTTCATAATTCCATTTGGACTTCTCCCTAGATGTGTCCAGTTATTTTATTTGAAGCAGTAAATCCTTTTTTGTTTTACCTATAACCCTGTAGATGCCTCAATATAAGATTTGCTTCTCAGTTAACATAAATAGCAGGTTATGCTCTTCAAATGAGTATGGTCACATTTCTTATAAAGTATTGACAGTTCACGACTGGAGAAAGGCTGTAACATTTTCAAGCAGTACTACTGGGGACTCACCACATGGTGTCGCACTTGTATATCTTATCAACAAGGCTACTTGGAGAAACTGACGCTGTAGATATGTACTAATACCACCACACCTGAAGAGGACCAGAACAGCCCACATTAGCCTCAGCATTAAGTGCTATATGCACACTATAAGTCCCTACGAAAATATTGCAGGATTATAGTGATTTGTTAAGATTAACAAATGTTTACCAAGCTGTGACTTGGGCTACAGTGACTGTCTTCTCTTGGACCCAACTATCAGTCACTGTAGATTCAGTACTGTACAAGCCTACCAGGCGCAAGGGGCCCCTGAACCAGAGCCTCTGAATGAGGTGACTGTTACCATTTTTTGTTGGAAAGTCAACCAACAACAATTAGCTGGCAAAATGAGTTTAAATGGATGCAAAACAGCCACACAAAGGTGCAAAATGAGCACAAGAGCATATAAAACGTCATATACAAAAACAAGTGAAACAAATAAAAAAGATGCAATGCAAATAAAATGAGTAGAAAAATAACTAAAAGGAAAAATCTGTTCTAAAGTTACAGATAAATATGGGTGCAAAATAATTATAACAAGATACTAAAGATATCAAAAGAAACATAGAACTCTCTTTCAGACTATGGCCTTACTTATATGTATTGGGGGGGGGCTTTTATGTGTCTCTGCCCAGGAGCCCCGTGTCTCCTAATCCGCCCATGTCGGTCACTGATGGAGCAATATCTGACCTCAACCACCAGACACCGAGAAGCAGATTTAGAGGCCAACAAGCACTCTTCTGTTTAATTTGTCTGCAACTTAGAAGTTATTTGCGGAGGGCAAACCTCGTTAAATTTGACATAGGCCCTCAACATTTCCCAAGCAAGCACAAGGTAGCCCAGTTCAAAGCGCCATATTTTCTCCATCTTGTAAAAGCTAGCAAACAGGGCGGAATTGTTTGCAAGGCAGGCCTCATTCATTAAAAGGCAAATGGCTCCTACATATTAATTATAGCCTAACCATCCAAAATGAATGCTCAGTTCATTATATAAGATAATTCGACCAAATAGAAAATAGCACTATGTCTAAATGTTGGCTGATTTATTTAGCTATTAGCTGTTTCAACAACAGATTTAAGACTTTAGCATGACAGAAACATGACTCGTAATTTCGCTCTTTGTGTTTGCCGTGAAGCTCATTCAGACAAAGACGTAACAAATGCAAGTTTGAATATTTTCTTTATCTCATTTTGTAATAAACATATAAATAATAGACATTTTTTGACACATCGCCCTGTTATGAAAGTTAACTGGTATGGTCTGGCTATAGAGACTATCCAAACTGTGCATCTGCCGCAGATCATTTCTATAAAACTATTTCCCTATTACAAAATATGAAAAGAAAAATACATTTTAGTACATTTACAGGAGTTATTACCTACTAATTTATTAAACGAAATTGTTTCAGTACAATTTTAACTGTTACTGAATTGTCAGAATCTGCATTTGATATTTTTCTCAGAAGAAAACAGAAAAATAGAAACAGCAAAGAGAAGCAGAGAATGCAGACATGAGGCAGAATATCTGTCCCTCTCCGACAACTAAAACGAACAGTTTCCAAAATAATGCAGTTCTTAATAAACCAAGCAATACAAGTTTTTCCAATACTTTCCCAACTACTGTATTTAAATTAAAATATATTCTCATATCTTACACTATTTCAAATAACGAAATGTGATTCGGTAGCGATCTGTTCAAAATCTAATTTACAATTCTGTGTATAAAAATATAATTTATGGAACCCCGCGAAGTTTGTTCTCCCCAAAATATAACAGTCAGTTGCACATATATGCACATATGAACATTACAACCTGTCAAAGTTACCTCCTTTCTACAGTTTTCTCTTTGCGCTCTTTTTTCTTTTTCGTTCTTTCTTCATCTTTCTTTTTTGCATTGGAGATATACAAAAATAGATTATGCACAATTTCCTGCTCACACCGTTTCAGAATCCATTCGTGTGACAGCAGCGAGTTCGCATGAGAATAAATTATTCAAGGGAAACTTGTTAAGGCTCCATTCGTTCTTTGAAAGGGGACACATCATGGAAAAGTCACTGAAATAAATATCCCGACTCCGCAGGGGCCTTTGTCTTGTTTGTCTGTTTGTTCTTTTTTTTTTAATTATCAGTATTTTTTTTCTTTTATTTTATTGTTTAATCTACTGAATAGTTCGAGTGGTCCTACATTTAAGTCTCACTCTGCTCCTGTGGCCAGAGGTTTCAACTCGGATATACTGACATCCCAAGTGGATGGATTGAGTGGCTGTCCAAGAACCAAGTTCCTAATTGATAAAGGATCTTGGAGTACCAGTGTACTCCGTCGTTCTGCGCACTGGCTTGAGGTTGGGAACTGAAAAGCAACGAGGACAGCCAGTGGGCGAGCCTGACAGGGGCCAGGGCCCAGTGCGCCAGGTCGTGGTCTTCGATCACTGCGTAACAAGACGCAAGCACCTGGTCCACTACAACAGTCCCCTGCACGGTCACTGGCGCAAAGGAGCCTTCGTGCTCCTGCGTGTAAATCCGCTTTACGCTCACTGGCTCGAGTCGACTTCTCTCGGCATCATAGACGAAAACCTTGTGTCCAGACTGGACTTGACTGGCGAAGATTGCCGTCATCCGCTCATCATCCTCCTCTTGAGTGAAGTTGCTTTGGCTGACGAAGAGGAGGTGCGCGGCGGTGAGGGTGATTTTCTGACCCGAGTCGGTTTCGATCACGTAGAAGAGCCTCCTGGTCGTTGAGTCTTGGTCTATGAACATTATGAAGTCGGTGTAAATCGAGTTTCCATCCTCATCCGCTGCCAGCACCTTGTCACCGGTTCGGAGGTCTTTCACTGCCTTCTTGGTGCCATCCTGAAGGCTGACAGTGGAGGAGCCTGGGAAACAGCCGCCTGACTTTGCTGCCACCGAGTTTTCTGTCGAAATAAAAGATTATACGGTTAAAAATTCATCTGGAGCTGTTGAGTTATTTTAAACCCATTTTCATGACACAGGATGTCCCCCAACAGCAATACATAGGGCTTTAAAACACGTTTAGGACTTAAGATATAACCACTCTCCGATTATTCCAGTCATGACAAACAACGTTCAAAAGGCCATTAAACTCTTTTTTGTGCCTCCACATATCATAGTTGGCCATATGCATTTTGCATAATGTTGCCTTTCGGCTCCCCGGTGCCAAATGCGTATTGGCTTGGCCCACGGTGTCTGAGTCGAGAAAAGTGAAAGCCTTGGCTCATCTATTCCTAATTAAAAACCCAATAAAGAGCAGGCATTGTTATTCTAAATCAGCTTGTGGATCGAGCTACTCTCGGTAAAGAACACTTACGCCTTTCCCAGCTACTCTTCCCATATTTACTCAGGTGCAGAAACCTCTATGTGACAATTCACACAAATAGGCGACTCACAACTACTATTTACCCAGTGGAGCCACTTTTCCAAGCCTCTCGAGTTGTAGATTTGAATTTAAATGAGAGCCCGGACTCTTAAATGCTTTCAGTTGTGCAACATCAATGTCCCCCCTTTCTACCACCTCTCCCTGCTTTGTTGTCAGTCTTGATGACAATAATTTTGGCCTTGTTGGAACTCTTCACATACCAGTCTCTAGGATCACACTGTCCTGCACAAAGGCGGGTTTCCTACTCAGAATTTGAGGCTTTTAATCTTCTTTTAAGATTCCCAAGCATGAAATAAGGTGACAACTGAAAACCAGATTTACCCCAACCAATTCAACATTGTTCAGCCAAATCCTTTTGGTAAAGTCGCATGACCCCTAATGACACGTCGGTCCGTGTGCGTTGAATCACAAATAAGGGATTTATCAATATAGTCTGAGGTAAGAAAAAGTACAATGGTTCATCAATCAGAGTGAAGAAATATTTTCTAAGCCCCATAGGTGTCCTGGAACTTAGTGAGGGTCTAAGGAAGATTATTTTATTCCAACACGGGCCAGAATAAAATCTTAAAATGAAAAGATGAATATCAAATCTAAGACAAATGAGATCAGAAAACAAGTTTTTGTTTTTCCTCTATATGGCCAAATCCAGAAAAAGTGAGTTAATTTAGCACTAACAACACATCTTGGTGCGTTTTATTGTGGTTTGCACTGATGTGTGCAAAAGCCCAGCGAATAAAACGACGTGTTTTCCTAGGTCACACCGAGGAGCCTTGTTAGTTTATGGTCGTGATTCCCACCAGGAGACAGTGTGGGGCGATGTAAGATCAAGAAATAAGCTGCATGGGAAATGCTTATGATGCCACAGGCAGGGCTGTGCCCATGCATCATTCACTGGAATATTTATTTACAATTTCGTAATTACCAGAATTCTGTGACGTCTGCATTTCCATTGTCCCACTAGATCCAAATATTCTTGTGCTTATAATAATTCAATGTCAAGAGTGAAGAATCTTTATTGTCATTGTGCATAGCACAACGATTTTTTTCAGCAGCTCTTGGCTTAAAAGAGACATTAAAAGACACAATGGTAACTTTATTTAACTATGCAAACCTTATAGTTTTGCAATATAAATTAATCGTACTTGCCTCCTGCCACGCTTGTTTTCCTGGAGCTAATTTGTCAACAAAAGCACGATTTTTTTATGTTTGCATGAGTACATGCAAAAAAGCACCTCTTTCGATTTTCTATTTTGAACCCTGATTACTTCATTACATAGGATATAATCTATTTTACGTTTAACTCACAAACAGCTGATGGAACTCACTTTGTATAAATCTTTTCCAGATCAGTCAGGGCTGCAGTCTCCCTGAACTGCGCCTGCTCTGTAAGCTGAATGAACTTTAATCATTTAGCTCAGGTGCTTTCCCCCCTTTTACAGTCAGAATCACATTACAGACTTTCTGCTGGTGTGATCAGGTGCTTCCCTGCTGCCCATTGCCATACCTGCTTTGACAGAGCAGTGGATGTGTGCTTTGGATTCATAATAGACCCAGTCGAATCCGGCTTCCACCGCCAGTCTGGACAGAGTGCCATATTTGCTCTTATCTCTGTCCGAGGTGGTGATGTCCACGGCCCTGCCCTCGTAGTGAAGAGACTCCTCAAAGTGGTGTCCGTCCTCGTCCCAGCCCTCGGTGACCCGCAGCTTCACCCCGGGCCACTGGTTCATCACTGAGATGGCCAGTGAGTTCAGCTTGTCTTTACATCTCTGTGGGAAGGAGAAACGGATCAATTGGGCACCTGTTGTGCCACACACTGGGTCTTAGGCCGTCCTGGGCTGTTAAGTGTTGAAAAGAATAGCATTCATTGACAAAGTCTTTTTATGTTGGCACATATTTGGCAATTATGATTAGAAGCTAAAAATAAATTGTATTGTGGTCAAGTAAATGAAATATTAAGCTGTTTGTGCCCCATGCAGACGTTTATTTATTCTATTTCCCCCCAGAAATACACTTTCTGGAAGGTTTCCTTGTTGTCTACTGTCTGCTATGTAATCATAACAATTAAAGATCATATATGGATTCCCTGAGGCTTCCCCCACATGTCCCCCTCACTTGACTCCCCCGATTCCTCCCAACTGAGGTGAAACACTGGGACTCTGATCCTTTGTCATTGTGCGCAGCAGCGTCAGGGGCCACATCTCGGGAAAGAAAGCTACTGATGAAATATTGAGGAGGTACCGCATTCGCTTCACTGGCCTGTTACATGTGGGGTTTTGGTCTTGAACAGGTGCGAGCAACGTCCCTTTCTGTCAAAAAGTGTTGCACTGAACACAGCGTGCATTCATTTATAAAGTCATTAGTTTATATTAAGCCATGAAATGAGTGAGACCATTCCTGGTTGCAACCTGTCTGTTTTTTTATAAATATGCAGACGTTATGAAGATGATCTTCAAAAGCACTGGCTGCCTTTCAGATTCAGGAGTTTGTCCTATAAATAAATTGTCGCACCCAACCTCTCTGTGGTCTCTCAGTGAAGATGCTTCGCCTTCTCCAAGACAACTATTCTCAAAGCTCAACCAATATGTCAAGTAAAACATCACAAAGAAGCTTTTCAGTCCAACCGTGGAGAGAAAGTGCCATTATTCTTCTCCTGCAAAGTCTTGGAAACGTGACATGCCTCCTTAAGTCGAGGTGTTTTGGCTGCTGACTGACAAACTTGTGAAATGTTCAGTGCTGGTATGGGCGCACACAGAAGCGTCTATGTGTGGCCCACTGTCCTTTTCCTTTATGGACAGCCTGGTGTCATAAAACAAGTATGTTCACACAGACAGAACCGCAGAACAAAACCTGCATCACCAGCTGTTTTGTGGGTATATCACACTTGTAGAATGTGCTGCATAAAACAGTTGCCTGAAACCTCACGCATTCTGAGTGGCATTATCGGAGCGCAAAGCCGTAAAGCTTAACCTGTTTATTAATTCATTTGGTCGTGTGCCGCGAATCAAGCCAAATTCTGCTCAGCCACCGTGAAGCTCAGCGGGGCGTCCCGGACAGGCGCTTTGTGCTCGGGGTAAAGTTGTTCAACAACCGCCCTCTTAATCTTTTCACAGATGATTTGGTTAGCGGAAACACTTATCAGCTACCTGTCAGTGCAAACAAGCTGCCAGCTCATCTCTTCGCCGACTCGTTTCCACTGTAGATAGAGAATGCATCCTCCTAACAGGGCTACCCTGAAAAATAACCCACATTTAAAAGCCAGTTTTACTTAGTATTGGGACTGTTCTTAGATGTTAAAAGTAATATTTTCCAGTGTGGGTGGCATGATTTTGCGGGGCACGTCAAGTACATTCTTCAGTTTCAAGACATTCTCTCATCACAAAATCAGCAACTTATTTTGCTTTACAAGTTGTGTCTGGAACTTCATTGGAAATAAGTGGAATTTATGAGTGAGCATTCTCACTGCTCCACGAGTTTCTACTGTTTTGAGACCGACAATATTTGACCATTGAATTCGCAGCTAGGATGGGCATTTTTCAGCTCAGCCTCCAAACAGATGCTTCTATTTACTCCAGGCCCCGATACACTCTCTGAAAACGTCTCTTTGGCAACTTTCCTGGCGGTGGGCTACGTGTTATTCGTTAGGGGAGTAGGGTTCTTATTCTACCGTTCCTTCAAATATCAAGCATTATAGTCTTGGCTATACCTCAGCGAACCGACTGATCATTTGCTGCACACATCAAAGGGAGCTACTGGAGGAACATTCACTGTTTCGTGTATGAACACAACATCCATTTTCTACAGCGTGTTGTAGCGAGCAAAGTCCACCGTACTGGTGCGTAAAAGTCCATGCGTAAAAGCCCTGTGTCCATACGTAAAGCAGTAGAACAGCGCAAACACCGCTGGCACAGCATAAATCCCCATATGATAATGCTTATTCCAGTAGCAGAGTAGTGTACAAAGCAGCTGCAGTCACTGTTTTGGTTGTACACGTTTTTATGCGGTGGCTGTGCAGCGGTAGTTAAGATAAGGACCTACTTTAACTTACTATGACCTGAGCAAAGGTCACAAGATCAAATGGCGTCTCAGGTCCAGACAATGTGCCTCAAAGCAATTTCATGTACATTCCACATTTAGAGACATTGGTATTTTCTATGAACGTTAAGATGCTGAATGGAAATAGGATGATAAACCAGACGCTATGAGCGTTTTTCAAAATATAAACCCGATGAAGAGAGAGAGAGAAACTCCCAAGAACTCTTAGTTGGAGGCCCCCACAGTGCCATATTTGTCTGAGAATCTCTCACCTCGTTAGAGTGATCTCATACAAATCTGCAAACACAACTGTTTATACAGCAGGTGGGGCATTTTACTCAGACTGAAAGCTTTAATGAAGCCATGTTCTTTTATATTGTCAGGAAATAAATAAATGAACAATGAAATGAAGCCATCCCTCTTTTTTCCTGAGCCCCTGGAACCTCTACGAGGATCCATGTGGGGGCTTCCTGACCCCCCACTTTACATCACATGCCAGCGCGTCTGTAACGTGATGGTCGGTATGACAACCTATAAGTGTATGAGAGACGAGATGTGGGGAGGGCTGAGACGGCACGCACAGTGAATATTTCATCGCAGCTCGTGCTCAAGCATGGCGCGAGGCACAGGTTCAGCGACTCCGGCGCGCGCTTGGCTTCATCACCACCTGCATTTTATTATTACTGAGCCAGTATCAGCCGAGCGCTTTTAATAATTCACCAGCATCTGAGTGCTAAAAGTCAAGCTGAAGAGACGCGGCATCTTGCAGACTGGATAGAGATCAAGACCACATCTCTCCGATGCATTGCGAGCCTCATCTTAACTGTATTGAACGATCATTTGATAATTAACTTCATACATGAAGACAGAGTGTTTAAAAAAGATGCTGTCTCTCATGCAAGCGCATTTGTAAAAGGCACCTCCGTCCCCGTGCGTCTTGCTCCTATGATTGACGGAGTCCCACCCATTTACGAAGACCTGAACTCTCTGAAAGAAATGTCACTCTTTTCATGCACTGTTACAAACATGAACATGCAAATTATAGCATCTTATGCAAGAAAATGTCTGAATGAGTCATGCCATGCATGAATAAGCCCGGCTGTTTGAAGCGGTGCGCATCCCGAGCTCTATGCATTCAGGTCTGGAATAAAGAAAAGGCGCTTTAAACAAGCTGTAACGTAGGACTCACATAACGTAGGGCAACAAATACTGAATGTCTCCATGAAATATAAGATAACATGAATGGGACACATGTTCAGCAAGAACATATGTCCCCGCACAGAATATAAATATAGATAAGAAGAGAAGGGCACATCAATATTTTAAATACACTGTCACAATCACGAAGGCCGTGTGTTCTGACTGTTCTGCTGCACATCACTTCTCCAGCTGCATTTCTACATTGGCTTCAAATCTGCGCCCTTTCAAAACTCATATTCTGGTGCATAAAGCGCATTTGCTTTTACAGTGAAGTTAAAAGGCTCAGTGTGGAGAGTTCAGCAGCAGACTTCACTTAAGGTGCGCAATCATTCTCGAGAGGTTGTTGTAGTGCGCAGTGATGGTGCGTTAGGACACGGGCAGAAAGGAAAAAAGCTCCTTACCTGAGTCATTAGCCTGTCGGCACCGGTGTTTTCCTCATCCTTGAATATGATGTCGGTGTTGTAATTTGGAGTCAGTTCCTTAAATCGCTCGGAGTTTCTTGTGATTTTGCCTTCGTATCTGCCGCTTGCCCCAAGGGTCTTCTCCGCCACATTGGGGATAAACTGCTTGTACGCAAGAGGTGTCAGCTTCTTCGGGTGCCTTCTCCTGCCGTAGCCCCTGCCTGGTCCGCATCCCATCCCAGAGGACACCAAGGACAAGCAGATGAGACCGAGCAATACGATTCTGGTCCAGCGCAGCATTTTTGTTGTTATAGATCTCAAACGAGTCACCGCGTCTGTCTCTACCGTCTGCCTCTCCCAGCTCTCGCAATGTCCTTGTCTCCTCCCCTGCTTCGCCTTAAACTGGCGTTTACCGTGGCAGGTGCGGAAACGAACGCCTCAGACAAAATGAAATAACGGGACACATCGAAGGAGGGTTAAAAAAAAAGTAGCAACAGAATAGATCTCTTGTCGAGCTGCAGCCGCTTGTGTGAGGCGACCGCTTTTACTGCTTTGTATTATAGCACCGATCTATAGCAGGGGAGGGACTTGATTGGCTCGCCTAGACAAACCCTCCTGATGTTATCCCACAAAAAAATCTTAAAAGATTTCTTCCACCTGCGGGTTAGCCTGTGTTGCGGGGAGGAGGGGCTGTTCCATGGGAAAACATCAATTATAAACCATCTTTTATCACCTTCCTATTTTCCAGATTTCACATGGAGGCAGAACAGACAGGAGTAGTTGCACAGTGCTGGGCTCAAATCTGAAGCAGTGCAGTTAGGTGAAGTGATTTCAGTATAGTGTGTGTGTGGCAAATGAAATGCGTTTGAGAGCATCCCGCACAGAATGTATTTCCCGGGACAACCAACCTGCTCGTGAATGTGCACTGCGTGCTCCTGTGCCGGATGTTTTTGCTGTGACCCCGTATCCACCAAATAAGTAATAACTGTTGAAGAGTTTACCAGTTGTTATTATTAGATTGGTGAATTAAAATTCTTTCGTTTCTAAACCTTTTACCCTTATGTCAGCTTTAATATACATATGAAAACTGCTTTTAAGAAGGTACTTTTGCTACTACTTAAACTCTGTCGAACTTTGACTGAACTTAAAATAAATCTAACATCTGGGCAATGCGCGCATCGTTGTGCACTCCTGCTGCGCCCTACAGTTTTCAACATCAAGACATTTTACATGATTACTCCGTTCGGGTTCTGACAACACACAGCCTTAGCAGGTGTACTGGTGCGTCGGACTCATCGAAGAAGTTAGGAAAACAGTTGGCCATCTAGTCTGACTGCCCTTGAGTAGCCCAGCCACTCATTGCAAATTGGCAGTTCAATCCATTTAAAACTGAATCCATACTGAGCAAAAAGTCAAGTGGTGTGAGTACTTTTGTTTGTGTGTATTTGCAGTTTTCTCTTGTATTGTGCGCTAATCTATTCTCCATAATTTTGTTTGGATGTTATTACAGATTTCATTTCAATCACCAGCCTTCATGAGTTGTTTTTAGCCCAACACGCACAGATATTCCTGTGTTGGTGTTGATTAAAACTGCATGGCACCATCACACATAAAACATTACTGTATCTGCATTCAAAGCACATCAGACAAAAGCAGAAATCTAAAATGTTTCAGGAAACCAAATTATTTGTGTGGTAACAGAGTAATTATAGGAGAGGGGTCTGTTTTGGAGAACTTTAGCTCTCATCACACTGACAGTGTGTCACAGGTTCTCTGAAGTGAGGACAGCTTTGCCAGCCTTTGGTGTGGCTTCAGTCTCATTAAACCTCACTCTGGCTGACCTCCAGTCTGGTGTGCAGTCTGTGCCAGGCTTGTGCACTGCAACCAGGGCAGGTGAGATTACCTGCCGCTCTCTGAGACACTAAACATCAAACCTTGGCCAAAAGATGGCTTGTGCACTTGGCAAGCTGCTGTGTAACCCTGACCAAAATTCTCTACAACCAGTGATTGCTGTCTGTCTACATATTACTGAATCCAATCTATGTTTTTTAACAAATGCCATAGAGATTCTAAATATTTTTTCTTTAGACACATTTCAGCAGCCGTCTCTGCAGAGGAGCTGTTCATAGACAGAGCCAATGGCAGGTGTGGTGTCCTGATTGACACCGGAGGCACAGTTTGGCCCTGAGTCAGAGCTGTAGTTCAGGTGTCACAGCTCTGCTATAAAACCTGGCATGCCACATGAACGCCTCAAAACTACAGAGCGAGGAAGAGAGGAAGAGTCTTCAGGGGTCCCAAAAAGTGCAGAGGTGTAGTAATAATCAGGGCCGGCCCGTGGTATAGGCAGTATAGGCAAATGCTAAGGGCGCCTACATCCATACATACATGGAGGAAGAACAAAAGTGTAACTTCCACTATTCTTAAAACTAGACTTCAGAAAAGAATACGCCCACCACATTAATTTAACTGCATAGCAGCAAAGCCTACTAAGTAGTAGTAGTAATAATAATAATAATAATATAGCCTAAGATGCCTAAGACGCCTCCCCTCTCTTCAAAATAATCCGACTTTACCTGCTACACGGTGTCGTTTTTTGATGGGTCAACAAGCTCAACATGTCAAAACGTCCCAAACCTTCTGGTGCCCAGGGGACGGAAAAAAGAAAAGAAGAGGAGGAAAAACTCGACAAAGACAGAGGTAATGTTACGGTAAAGATTATGTCAATGATATTATTTTG